CCATAAGGCTTCTAGAAGAAAATGTAGGCAGTACACTCTCTGACATCAGTATTAAAAGGATCTTTTTGGATGCCATGTCTTCTCAGACAATGGAAACAATAGAAAGAACAAACAAATGGGACTTCATCAGACTAAAGAGCTTCTTCAGGGCAAGGGAAAACAGGATTGAAACAAAAAAACAACCCACTAACTGGGAAAAATATTTGCAAGTAATACATCTGACAAAGGCTTAATATCCATAATATATAAAGAACTCACACAACTCAACAACAAAAAATTAAAGAACCCAATCAAAAAATGGGCAGGAGACATGAACAGACATTTCTCCAAAGAAGATATACGGATGGCCAATAGGCACATGAAAAGATGTTCATCATCGCTGATCATCAGGGAAATGCAAATCAAAACTACACTAAGATATCACCTTACACCCATTAGAATGACAAAAATAACTAAAACAAATAGTAACAAATGTTGGAGAGGTTGTGGAGAAAAAGGAACTCTCATACACTGAGGGTGGGAATGCAAACTGGTGTAGCCACTATGGAAAACAGTATGGAGATTCCTCAAAAAATTAAAAATAGAACTACCATAAGATCCAGCTATCCCACTACTAGGTATCTATCCAAAGATCTTGAAATCAGCAATTCCAAAAGTCCCATGCACCCCAATGTTCACTGCAGCATTATTTACAATAGCCAAGATGTGGAAGCAACCTAAGCACCCAGCAACAGACGAATGCATAAAGAAGATGTGGTATATATATACAATGGAATACTACTCAGCTGTAAAAAAGAACAAAATCATCCCATTTGCAACAACATGGATGGACCTTGAGGGAATTATGTTAAGTAAAATAAGCCAGATAGAGAAGGACAATCTCTGTATGACTCCACTCATATGAGGAATTTAAACATGTAGACAAAGAGAACAGATTAGTGGCTACCAGGGGAAAGGGGGGGTGGGGGTGGGCACAAAGGGTGAAGGGGTGCACCTACAACACGACTGACAGACAACAATGTACAACTGAAATTTCACAAGATTGTAACCCATCATTAACTCAATAAAAATTTTTTTTAAAAAAAGAGGGAAATTCATCGCAATACAGGCTCACCTTAACAAACAAGAAAAATCCCAAATAAGCAATCTCAAGTTACACCTAGCTGAATTAGAAAAAGAAGAACAAACAAAGCCCAAAGTCACCAGGAGAGAAATAATAAAAATCAGAGCAGAAATAAATGCTACTGAAACAAAAAAGGCAGGAGAAAGGATCAATGAAACAAAGAGCTGGTTCTTTGAGAAGATAAATAAAATTGACAAACCCCCAGCCAGACTTACAAAGAACAAAAGAGAGAAAGCTCAGATAAACAAAATTAGAAATGACAGAGGAGAGATAACAACAGACACCACAGAAATACAACGGATTATAAGACAATACTATGAAAAACTATATGCCAACAAAATGGATAATCTAGAGGAAATGGATAAATTCTTAGACTCATACAACCTCTGAAAGCTGAATCAAGAAGAAACAGACAATCTGAATAGACCAATCACAAGGAAAGAGATTGAAACAGTAATCAAAGCATCCCAAAGAATAAACCCCCAGGACCAGAAGACTTCCCTGGGGAATTCTACCAAACATTCAGAGAAGATTTAATACCTATCCTTCTCAAGCTATTGCAAAAAATTAGGAAGATGGAACACTGCCTAACACATTTTATGAGGCCATCATCATCCTGATACCAAAGCCTGACAAAGACAACACAAAAAAGGAAAACTACAGGTCAATATCGCTGATGAACATAGATGCAAAAATCCTCAACAAAATGTTGGCAACCCAAATTCAGCAATTCATCAAAAGGATCATACATCATGATCAAGTGGGATTCACACCAGGGACACAGGGATGGTTCAACATCCGCAAATCAATCAACGTGATCCACCACATCAACAAACTGAGGAATAAAAACCACATGAGCATCTCAACAGATACAGAGAAAGCATTTGACAAGATCCAACAGCCATTTATGATAAAAAAAAAAAAAAAACTCTTAACAAAATGGGGATAGAAGGAAATTATCTCAACATTAAAAAGCTATATATGATAAACACACAGCCAAGATCATACTCAATGGGCAAAAACTGAGTGCCATCCCCCTGAGAACAGGAACAAGACTTGGATGCCCACCATCACCACTCCTATTCAACATAGTACTGGAGGTTTTGGCTAGAGCAATTAGGCAAGAGAAAGGAATAAAAGGAATCCAAATAGGGAGTGAAGAAGTGAAACTCTCACTGTTTGCAGATGACATGATCTTATATATAGAAAACCCCAAAAAATCCAAGGGAAAACTATTGGAAATAATTAACAACCACAGTAAAGTTGCAGGGTACAAAATCAACTTACAAAAATCAGTTGTTTTTCTATACTCCAATAATGAACTTACAGAAAGAGAACTCAAGAATACAATTCCGTTTACAGTCGCAACTAAAAGACTAAAGTACCTAGGAATAAATTTAACCAAGGAGGTGAAGGACTTATACAATGAAAACTATAAGACATTACTGAGAGAAATTGATAATGACATAAAGAGATGGAAAGAGATTCTACGCACATGGATTAGAAGAATAAACATAGTTAAAATGTCCATACTACCCAAAGCAATCTACAGATTCAATGCAATCCCAATCAAAAGCCCAACGACATTCTTCACAGAAATAGAACAAAGAATCCTAAAATTCATATGGGGCAACCAAAGACCCCAAATTGTTAAAGCAATCCTGAGAAAAAAGAACAAAGCTGGAGATATCACAATCCCTGACTTCAAAATGTACTACAAAGCCATAGTGATCAAAACAGCGTGGTACTGGTACAAAAACAGGCACACAGATCAATGGAACAGAACTGAAAGCCCAGAAATAAAACTGCACATCTACAGACAGCTAATCTTCAACAAAGGTGCCAAGAACATACAATGGAGAAAAGACAGTCTCTTCAATGAATGGTGTTGGGAAAACTGGACAGCCACATGCAAAAGAATGAAGGTAGACCACTATCTCACACCATGCACAAAAATAAACTCAAAATGGATCAAAGACTTGAAGATAAGTCCTGAAACTATAAAACTTCTGGAAGATAATATTGGTAGTACACTCTTTGACATTGAACTAACAAGGATCATTTCGAATACCATGTCTTCTCAGACAAGGGAAACAAAGAAAAAATAAATATGTGGGAGTTCATCAGACTAAAGAGCTTCTGCAAGGCAAAAGAAACCAGCATCAAAACCAAGAGACAACCCGGGGTCGGCCTGGTGGCGCAGCAGTTTAAGTTCACAAGTTCCGATTCTCGGCAGCCCAGGGTTCACTGGTTCGGATCCCAGGTGCGGACATGGCACTGCTTGGCAAAAAGCCATGCTACGGTAGGCGTCCCATGTATAAAGTAGAGGAAGATGGGCACGGATGTTAGCTCAGGGACAGTCTTCCTCAGCTCAGGGCTCATGTTCCTCATAAAAAAACACAAAGAGACAACCCACCAATTGGAAGAAAATATTTGCAAATTATATATCTGACAAGGGGTTAATCTCCATAATATATAAGGAACTCACACAACTGAACAATAAGAAAACAAACAACCTGATCAAAAAATGGGCAGAGGATATGAACAGACATCTTTCCAAAGAAGATACAGAGATGGCCAATAAACACATGAAAAGATGCTCAACATCACTAATCATCAGGGAAATGCAAATCACAACTACACTAAGATACCACCTTACACCTGTTAAAGTGGCTATAATCACTAAGACTAAAAATAACAAACGTTGGAGAGGGTGTGGAAAGAAGGGAACCCTCACACACTGCTGGTGGGAATGCAAACTGGTGTAGCCACCATGGAAAATAGTATGGAGATTCCCTCAAAAAACTAAAAGTAGAAATACCATATGACCCAGCCATCCCACTGCTGAGTATCTATCCAAACAACTGGAAATCAGCAGTTCCAAAGCAACATATGTACCCCTATGTTCATCACAGAACTATTCACGATAGCCAAGGCTTGGAAGCAACCTAGATGCCCATCAAGGGACGAATGAATAAAGAAGATGCAGTATATATACACAATGGAATACTACTCAGCTAGAAAAAAGACAAATTCATCCCATTTGCAACAACATGGAAGGACCTGGAGGGAATTATGCTAAGCGAAATAAGCCAGACTGAGAAAGACAAACACCGTATCATTTCACTCATGTGTGGAGTATGAACAAACCCACAGACAAAGAGAACAGTTCAGCGGTTACCAGGGGAAGGGGGGTGGAGTGTGGGCACAGGGCGTGAAGGGAACACCTATGTGGGGACAGTCAAGAAATAGTGTACAGCTGAAATCTCACATTGATGTAAACTAGTATGAACTCAATAAAAAAAAAAGCTCTAAAAAAAAAAAAAGAACCAAAAGATAAGAATTCAAATCCAAGGAAGGTCTGAGAACCAATAGACTGTGGTGATTATGAGCATGAGCCAGGCTCCTTTTCATCCTGGTCCTACCATTCATTAATTGTATGACTTCGGGCGAGTTGCTTGTCACCCTGTGTCAACATCCTCAGCTGTAAAATAAGGATGGTGAGAATAGCACCCACCTTACACGAGTGTTTGTTGTGAGGGTTAAATGAGTCGGTACACGTACGGGATTAAAAGCCTGCCTGGCACATGGAGTATGACTTTCCTATCACAGGTCCTTTCCCCTCAACAAGAGGCCAAACTATCCAGTGAAACCCTCACTGTAAGGGCACAGTAAACTCTTAATTTCCCCTAAACTGATTATCTCTGGTGTCTGCCAGCCACTTCCTATTTTAGGGTGAGTTTCTATAATTTCTCACTATTTGCACACAATACTCTTTTCTTCTGGTTCTTTCTTTGTCCTTGTATTTCAGAGGAGTATTTAACTGTATTCAGATTTACTTCATTAATTTAGGGCTTTTCAAAAATAAATCTCTCACCTGTTCTCCACAGTGCTGCCTTCCTTAAGAGGGTAACTCCATAACTGAAAAGTTCCTTGTCTACCACTCTGAGAACAGAAAAACCACGGACAACATTTTAGTAACCACATGCATTTTAAAAAAATAATCCTTTAAGAGTAGGATGAATAAAATCCCACCTGAGTTCTTTGGTGAGTGTGCTCTGACAAATTCAGATCTAGCATCAGTTGCTCTACTGGAATTTCCAAATGCTTCTAGAAAGCAGCAGCAGAATTTTAAACACAATGTATGTCTGTTCCCTACTCTTGTTCTAAGAATGTATAGTTCTTGTTTTAACCAAGAAATATATAGTTCTAGCCAAGAAATATGTAGCAAAGTCCTGTGACACTGCTTACATACAGACACACAGCATTTGTTTACTGCAGCAGGAATTAGTATAATCTGGTATAAATACCAACTAAACAGTGTCAACTAGTGAGCCTTGGATATCCTTTTCTCTATTTTACTAAGAGTTAAGTGTTTTATATTCTGATCAAAAAAGCTAAAGTAAAGATTAATTTTCTCATTACTTCAAAACAAAATATTAACCATTTCAACTGCTTCAAGACATCTTAAGTGCTGAGCCCACTTCCCTTTTGGCAATGACTAGAAAACACCATATTCACTAAGAGTTTAATTTCCACTTATAGTATTGTTATATTGAAAAAACAATTTAATACAATAGTAATTTAATGACCAATTTGCACCCCGGTAAAATAGTAAAGGCTTTGACTTGTTCGAAGATTTATACAGAAATTTAAAGTTTAACTTTGAGGGAAGAAATTTTTTTTACAGAACATACATATAATTTTAAAATGGCATTTTATGAATGAATTAAACATTTATCCTTACCTTGTTAATTTTGCCTGAAAGAATGTGTATAAAAAAATGACAATTAATAGTTACATAAAACTGATTATATTAAAAACAAATCCCCTTTACTCTGAGTGTTAATGAGACTCTAAGTAGGAATCCAAGTTTTCCTAGAGGCATCAATACACACGGAGGATGTCTTACCACCTGCTGGGCTGTCCCTTCCAGGTGGCAGGTTTCTATTCGCAGGAGCAGGTACTTCTGAATCCAAATGCCAGTAAGATAAGTTCTAAAACAACATTTGTTTCAGGATAAACTTAATGTTAGGAAAATTTTAAAAGCTCAAGTACATAACTTTCCACGTCCTTTGGGTAAAGGCTGACAAAAGGCACAAGCTTCCTGACCCCTCCCTCCTCTAAGGACACCATCGGCATTTCTGAGGAGCCAGCAATGTTCTCTTACCAAACCCTTATCAGCTAGATAACACCTATTAGTCAGGAAATGGAAAGGTGTTTACAGCAATTTATGGTTTCATTCTCATTTTATTAAAACTAACGGCACACAGGTTTTCAAAATTGATTTAAAAAATATAACAAAGTGTCCAGTTCAGTGTGTCCCTGGTACACAACGGCACATTCACCAAATTTCTGTATCTGAGGACTGTATCTGAAAGCCTATAAAATCTTTCCATCAACCAAAGAAAATTCACTGATCTCACATTATACACAACACTGACCAGCCCCACTACTCACTCTGGACTCCAGATGTTGAGAAACACTCAAGAAATATTCAAAAGAAAGCCAGAAAAAGAAGAGGAAAAGGTACAAATATCTCCTGAATATTTAAGTTCCAGACATTGTGCTGAGTGTTGTGGGGAAAAAAATGTGAGGAGTGTGTAAAAACTTACCCCGGAAAAGGGAAGGTGAAGGGGTGATTAGTTTATTAAAAAAGTAATTTTTTCGGAATGAATTCAGTGGTTTTCTATCTCAAACGAGAAAATCCTTTGTAGATTATACTCTAAGCAATGTACAAATGAAATTTTAGGCACTATTAGGTATCATCTCCCCACCGAGGAGGAAGAGGGAGAAATGAGCTTAAATACAATATGAGCATTTAATTGATCCACAAAGAAGTTATCTCCTGACACGAAGGATAGTTGAACATTGGAAAGCAGGCTGCAGATTATCTTTCTCTGGAGGTTTCTGAAAAATAACAATTCTCTGCTCTCAGAGATAACATGTATTGGGTCTAGGCTCCAGATGAGAACCACCTGGAGAGCTTTTTAAAAATAATAGTAGAAAAAAATACTCTAGATTCTGATTCAGTAGGACGAGTGTAAGGCCCAGTTATTTGTATTTTTAAAACCTCCCTGACGGATTCTGAAGCTTCTTTCGGCTACATATGTAATCCTGCCGCACTAATGTACAAAGTACCACGTGAGAGAAATATCCTTAAATTAACGTGGTAAAGGGAAGCTGACGAAAACTGTGCTGTTGGGATCATACACAAAAACAGGGGGATCAAAGTGGCCAACCGGTGACGAAGACGAACAACTACACACGACGCGAGCCAGATCGCAGACTCCTTCCAGGGTGGAAGTGGTTCTCCTTTTTGATACCCCGCCTGCCTCACCAATAGTTTTCACAAAATATGTGCGAGAAAATAAAAAAGGTGAGCACTGCCTGACTGATCAAGGTAGCATCTTTAACAATACCCAACTGCAATTAGAAATGTTTTGAGATTTGGAGAGAAGCTGGTTATCTTTTCCTTTGCTAAAACAAATAAAAATTTTCCATTTGATATTCCAAATGTGCCAAGAGGAAAACTCAGTACAAACTGCTCACAAATAGGAAGCAGCAAGGCGTCTCAGCAGTGGGGGTCGACAGCAGCAGCCCCTCACACGGGAGCCGCGGCCCGACGCCCGGGGCCACCGCCGCCATACCTCTTGAGAGACGCTGGACACACGCAGGCTGGCACCGCAGGTCTCACCATTTCTTCTCCCCATTTTGCTCCTCTGTTTCCTTAAAATCCTATACAGGTTGTGGAAAAGGCACATCCATGGGTGAGGTACGACACTGATTTAAAAGAAAGCATGAGCTTTGGCTCCCCATCTAAAGGAGGTTCAGAAAATGCTTGGAAGGCATGAGAAAGGGACTAGAGGGGCGGGGCGGGGGTGGTCATATAGAATCAAGCAGAAGCAAGGGGCGAGCCAGACAACAAAAGAGGGCTTACATAAAAGCAAATTGGAAGATCTAACTCGCAGAAGATTAGGAAATTACGGTGTGAGGTGAGAAGGGAGATAGCAGATAGGAAGATAAAATACAAATCAGAAAAACAGGTGAGTTATCTGGAACTTATAAAACAGGGCCATGAACTCTGCTTTTAATCATTGCGAACAGGCGCTGCGTTGGAAAGCCGATTAACCTTCCACAGGCAGCGCAGGCACCGCGGGCGGGTTTCAGAGACAGGGGAAGGCCCACGGGACCCAACACTGCTTTCCACACCAAACTCGCACGCCCTCTAAGCGCACCACTGTTTACGGGAGCAGCATTAGGGAACCTAAAAGAACAAGCGATCATTGGGTTAAGGTTCGGCTATCTGGAAAGAATCACAAATTAAAGCCACCGCAGTATTCCGTGTATTTGCTAATCGTTCACAATGTTTGGTCTCCTAGAGGGAAGGTGTATCCTGAAGAAACGGGAAATACAGTTCCGGTGGGTCTGGAATCAGTAAGTATGACTCCACCTGCTCTCCGCCAGGCACCGGGATGGGAGATGGCAGGAGGACGCAGGCTGCCGAGCAGGGGGCGCCGCCCGGCCGCGGACGGCGTCGGGGGCGGGCAGGGCCCGCTCTGCGGGGGTCGGGGAATCACAAAGGGCCGGAGAGCGGGCGGGGCCGGAGGGAGGTGCGGGCAGGCGCGGGGCGGGCGGGGGCGAGGGCCCCCCTCCCGGCGTGGCGGCCCAGGGGCGCGCAGGGCGAGGGGACAGCGGGCCGGCCTCTTACCCCGCGGCGCCGCAGGCCCACGTGTCGTCCCCGTCGTCGTCTCCTAGGGCTCCGCCGCCCCGAGGCCCGGGCCCCTCCGCGTGCGCGGCCTGCGGCCCGGCCTTCCTGCGGCGGGAGGACACGGAGGGCAGCGCGCGCCGGCCGGACGCCAGCGCCGCCCCCTCGGCGGAGGACGGTCCCCCCCGAGGCGGCCCGGGGCCCGCAACGCCCGCCGAGTCCGCCGGATTCGGGGGCCGGGGTCCCGCGGCGGCCGCCCAGGCCCGCGGGACGGGCGACGCCGCCGGGGAGGGCGCGGGGCCGCGGCTCCTGCCCCTGCGCCCCGCGCGGTCTCGGCCGTCCGGTGGAGGGGCGCCCCGGGCTGCGCACGCCGCGGGCACGGCCTCCGCGCCCCCGGCAGCCCGCCGGCGCCCCGCCCTCCCGGGCTTTCCGCGGCCCTGGCCCTGACCCCGGGCGGCGGGCCCCGCGTGGCGCCTAGTGGGCCCCTGGCACCGAGGGCCTGGGCCGCTGGCTTCCCCCCCTTGCCTGCTCCAGACTAAGCTAAATATATGTCTCTGCGTGGATATGCGAGGAGTTCCATCCTTGCTTATAATACATAATATATTAAATAATTACAATGGAAGGAGGACGGCATCCCTGCTGAGAGCAAGCCCATTCTGGTCAGTTCCAGGTCGGTCATTGGTCTTACAGCAGTAAGAACAAAAGTTGATGTTTTGTGTCTAGGTCACATTTAGATCGTGGGACGCCAATTTTGCCCTCCAAATGCATCTCTCTCACTTGAGTTGCATGAAGTAAGCGTGTGTGTTGGGGGCAGGAGGGGAGGGAATACATTCATGTACACACGTATATAACATGGATATGTTATACATACATATATAATGTCAAAATGGACTTTAGTGGAGCTATTTTAAAATGGAGTAGAAACTGCCATTCCAGAGAAACTGCCTCGCCCTTTGAACCTCCGACTAGGCCAGACATTTGGACTGGTCCAAAAGGGTGATTGTTTTACAAGCAATTGTTTGAGAAGTCAGCAGGAGAAGGGACATCCTGATTAGAAAGACCGAGGCTGGTGGGCTTTCCGAAGATACAATCAATAGTCAATCAGTATTTAGCCAAGACCAGCTCTCTGCCTCCACCTCCAGTTAAAATCCTTTGTAATACAATCTGCCGTCTTTGCTTTTAAAAGCCCCTGACTTTTACTCTCTCTGGGACACTATTTGGTTTTCTGCCTGAATCTGTGCTCCCTGAATTGCGATTCCTTGATCCCAAATAAACGTTTTGCCTCTTAAACTGGGCTTCTGTTTTTGTAGGTTGACAATAATGTAAGTAAATATGTAAGTGAATATTTATTTACATATTTGCGACTGTGATATGTGTGAGTAAATGAATGCTAAAAATGTTTGTCACATATGTTCTTTATAATGCAGCATTGCATAATGCTTTATAATGAAGCATTGACATTTGAGGAAAAAGTTTTGCAGTCCTTTGCTGATACTATTGCCTTCTGTTGGGTTGAACACCCAGCTCTAGATTCAAACCCCAAAATGTTTCATTTAAGCAAATAAATGCCCTGGTTCTTAACATTTGGGGGGAAGGGATCTTGTGCTCCTTTGTGAATCTTCCTAGAAAAATGCACATATGTACCAGATGTTGAACACAACTCATTCTAGGGGTTTCTCAGATCCTTGATCCCCCGCCTCCTCCTCCAGACCAGAGGTGTCAGTCTCCTTCCTGGGCATTTCCCTTTCCTCTGGGAAAGGCCTTCCCTGGCTCCACTTTAGAGAAGTCCTGCTCACCCACGTGGCTCTATTTCATAACACCCTGTTCTTAGGTCTTCTCTGTACTCCTCACGGCCCTGTTTGTTAGTCTTGTTTGCGTTTTTCTTTTCTGTCTCATACCTGTAGAATGTAAACCTCTCTGACGGCAGGGGCCTTGCCTGTCTAGTTCACTGCTGTGTCCCCATCCCTTTCAAACTGTGCTGGCCACGTGGTGGGAGCACCATAAACACAGGTGAATGCGGGTAAGATCAGCATAGGCCTCCTCGGAGCTCCCTCCTGGGTTCTCTCCTCCTTCAGACTGTTCATACTGCTGCTCTGAAACACAGACCTGCTCTAATGCCCTCGTAATGCCAAAGAATAAACTCCAAATTCCGCAGCCAGGCTCGAAGCGTCTGCTCCTCACCTTTCTGGTGCCTATTACGTGGCAGACACGCCAGGCACTTTGCATTTTACTGAACGCTCTCCTTCAAGACGTACGTCATTTTTACTTTTCTTATGATAGCTCCTCCTTTTTATCTCCTCCCTCTTTTTATCAGCCTAGGTAAGTCCTGTTTATAGAGATCTAGCTCACAAAACATCATTCCTGACCCCTCAGGAAAAGTAAATTGCTACCTCCTCCAAGATCCCTATTTTGGGTTTATATGTATATGATTTGTTTACAATTCCTAACTCACTGTTAGGTTATAATTATTGATTTACAGTATCTCACTCATTATCTTTACATGCCTTGAAGGCAAGACCTGGCCTTACTCTATCTGGCAGAGTGCTAGCACATCATGGGCACTCAATAAATCTTTGAGCTAATTTAATTGCTCAAAAAATAGCATTTGCTAGAGTGTATGGTGTGGTTCCTATGTGCCAGGCATAATGCTGAACATTTTACGCAGATTAATCTATTTAATACTCGTAACACAAAGAAGTTGGTACTACCGTTATTCCTATTGTATAAATGAGTAACTGGAGCCTTAAATATATTAAGTAACTTTTCCCAACCTAAAATTACTTGAAAAAATAGTGAATTGGTTAAATATTGGGGTCCACATATTTCCAGCTAACACTTTCTACAAATATATCTAGCTGGGAAATGGTTTTCTGTTCTCTGGAAAAGAGATAAGCATTAGGTGTGTCTATGTGCACGAGTGTGCATTTCACATGTCTAGCTTACACATCTCCCATCTTCCTTGCTTTTTCTTTCTGTTTGTGCTTTTTCCTGTCATTTCAGAACTTGAGCTGGTTCCTGATCCCTTAAAGTCCCTCTCAGAACTTTTTGTCGTCAGTAAATATATCGTCTAAGATTCTCTTTTTTTCCTTGACAGAAGATATTCCTAAGAATCTTCCTTTCCTATTGTCATCCCTGCTTGACTCTTCTTCCTTCCTCTGGAGACTTTGTGAATGCTATGACATCAGCATCAAAATCAAGCCTCCGCCCCTGCCCCTCAGCCCCGCCATCACGCATTGAATTGATAAAGTTTTAGTATTACAAGTTTAAAACCACAGTGACAGCATAGTCCGTGTACAGTATTTACAGGGGGCATCTAGTCTAAGTGGCGAGGAGACAAGGTTTGGAGAGAGAAGAACTCAGTGTGAAATGTTCCGGTGGTGTGAAATAGAAAGGAAACAATGAGAATGATACCCTCTCCAAACCCTGGGGTCTGGTTTGGCTCTAGTCCAGGGGGTTAGCTGGACCGTGAGCCGTTTCCATAGCAGCTCAGGTTCAGCTCTAACATCAGTCTTCACCGAGACCCGAGAGAATGCACTTTCCTTCTAGGCCATCCCAAGGCCACTCCAGGGATTCAGTTTTGAGTGGTAGCCTCCGGCTCACCCTGCTTTAACCTTGTATCTCTTTAGCTAACCCAGTGAAGGAGGGTAAGGTAGAGGCCCGCTGTCTCATGACCTTTAACAAGCTCTTCCATTAATTGCAATGGAGGTGGTCTGAATTGGTGGGAAGAAGGAAGCCTTGGGCCAGTCACTTAGTGGGTAAGCATGCCTTTCTGCCCACCTGAGTTTCTCCTACTATGACAATGGTGACAATATTGACATTAGATAACTAGTTTGGAAAGCAGTTTTGTATACATTCCATTTCATTGTCCAGGGTTATGCAAAGAAATGTCAGTAACAACATTGTTTAGCTTCTATTTATTCTGGAGGGAAAGGCTTCCATTTTCATGTTGTTACATTGCCATGCCTTTGCCTCCTCCTCCCTCCGTCTTTCCCTGCAGGGCTGCTGAGGTCATGGCTGGTCATGTGCTACCACAGGATCTTATTCAGTGTAATTGTGTAAATATCTTCAGAAAGTCAATTAATATTTTCTAACTAATATTATGCCTTTTTGTTTTCAGATAAAGATGTGAAGTCCGTGGGAAACATTTCAATTCAATTATGGGCAATTTGTATTTAGACCATAGTTCAGCTAACTAGCCTTTCTTTCTCTTTTCCAGATTCTGCTTTGTCTTTCAGTAATGGTCAATTGTATTTATGCCCGATTTAGCACTCCATTTATCTTAAATATCTCAACTTTCTTGTGTTTGTATAATTCCTTTTAAAGAAATATGTATGAAAGCATTTATAGTTTGAAGCTGTGTTTTTTGTTTTAAAAATGAACCTTTAACACTTTGCTCCCTTAGCACTGTCTTATTTGGGAGGCCACCGTTTTGTGGCAAAAATACAAGAAATCTTGTTTTAAATCTATTTATTCCTAGAATAAAAGTGATAGTATTGTATAGGAATATATTCCCCAAAGTAAGATAAACACATACATTAGTAAATTCCACATCTGCATATGTTGCAGCTAGTACTTTTGAATAATTCTCAATTATATATTTCTACCCTCATTTTGATTTTTCTGCAAGACTTGCTTTCTGCAGTTTGAATTGCTTTATAAGTCGTCCTGTCCTTCAGATGCCTATAGCCTGGAGCTGGCGTTTTCTTAGCCTGTCATCACGAATTCATGTGAACTTTTGGCCTGAGTTTCAGGATCAGAACTTACTTTCTGGGGCTGGGAAAGCTGCAGCCTGGATCGTCCTCCTGGTCATCGGGACCCTCCCACCTCATCTGCTTTGAACGGAACACTCTCTTTAGAATGCTTTCTTTAAGAAACTTGGAGATGATCTTTTCTCTTTGAACGTTACTGAATATTTTGCCTTCTGGAAGCCAGCTGATCTTGTCACATCCACCGTGGCAGAGGGGAAGGGGAAGGAGTTCCGGAGACACAGCAGCCCTCTTTGGAACAAAGAAAAGAAATTGTTGTTTACTTAAAAGTCGGGAACTGGATAAACACCCAGACTCCTGCAGCTGCTCTGCTGGGGGATCAGTTCAGCTGGGAACGCTCTGCTGGTGCCTCAGCGGCACCACAGGCCCTTCATTAGCAGCTTGTCCTCGCAGTATGAGGAGCGCTGGCCAAGGAGGGTGCTTTGCTTGCTACGCTTTTCTTGTGAGAAAATAATAATACATTACAAACACGGTTTTGAAAAGGTAAGTACATTCGTCATTGAAGAATAGAATTGGAAATAAGTGGAATCCAAAACGGAAAGATTTGTTTCATCAAAGAACATTAGCACTGAAGCCTGAGACCTGGCCGGCTGTGATCTTGAAGATCACACAGCTAGTTAGCAGCAGGGCGCTGCCAGCCTCCATTCACAACGCTTAACTCCTGTCCTGAACGGTGTTCTTTCCACCACACCGTAATAAAAAAAATGGAGGACACTGCTGCCTGGAAGAAGTCTTACCCACTGCAAAAAGCATTTATCCATCAGATACTTTATTTAAAAATAAACTTTAATAATTGTGGCCGACTTCTGATTTCAGCCAAGGTCAATAAACTTCAGATAGCTGGAACCATTCCATCAGTTGCTATTTAAAGCAACGAGTAAGAACATATGGGTCAATGTACATGGAGTGTAAGGGATCACATTTTAATAGATCACTTCCTTGGCCAGTTGAATGCTTTAAAACATGGTTTGCTCTTTCCTATTTATATAAATGAGGATACACTGAAATTTGCTTGGAAGAAAGAAGCCTCTGGCTATCAGAATACTCTACCCCCTTTACTCCCACCAATTCCCTTCTCTTCCCAAAAACACCTGTGAAATTATGAGAATCACATATATTCAAGTGGTTCTGCTTAATTCTATAACATATTTTAAATATATTTGTATTTAAAGTCTACTTTTTTATTTTTAAAAATTTTACGATTTAGGTTTGCAGTTGAAAATTAAGACGTGGAATTTTATATCTCCTGCTCTGGACACTGATGTATCATATCGTATAATCGTGTTTTTATAGTCTTGGCCACGGGTTTTAAGTTTGGTAAAGTGCTGGCAAACACTCTCGGCCTTTGCCAGCGTACGCTTGGCCCACAGAGCTTTCCTTGCTTCTCTCCACTTTGCTGTGTGACTCCCCAGCCAGTTCACAGGGTAGAACAATTACGGTGGATCTGGCTCTGTTGACGGAGCATGTTGCGATTAAGGAGTAGCTATAACGAACCTTATTATTTGCACTTTTGCCCCCAAAATCTGGGAGTAGTTCTTGGCAGCTTCTGTCTTGCTCAGGGCTGTCTATCAAATTTGGTGGTTTAAGGTTATTTAGTGCTTTTTCTGTCCTCTGCACTGGGTTCACAATGAAGAATGTCTTCTATCAGTAAAGCTCAAGTTGAGCATTTTTGTTTTTTAGCTTTGTTTCCTCGGTGTTAGTTTGGATAAGAGAAATAAGAAGCAGTCTGGCTTCTTACCTGTGTTAATCTGGACATTTCTCAGTTTGGATGATGAAGCTCTTTCCTCAGGTCTGCCGCAGGACTGTGCTGATGTAACTACTGTCCCTCAGGGCCTAGTAGGTCTGTGGAGTCCTACTTATGTTCACACGGGGTTCAAGGTCTCTACTCAGTGCCAGATGGGAAAGTAACACTGGGTGTGTGCACGCCGTGTTTCCCCTCTTTCCTTTAGGAAAGGGGAAACTCCACACTGCCTTCCTCAGATGTTGTCCATGTTCACACAGGAAACTAGAGTTCCTGCCTAAAACCCCTCTAAGACTTGTCAGGATATTTTCAATGGCCTGATTTCCACTGGTTTGAAGGTGCAGGATGAGCACTCAGGGTTCCAGGCTAAGATCTGGGCCATTGTGACTCTCAGAATGCTAAGGAATGAGAGACCAGAAAATAGATTCCACGCTATCTTCTTGGAGATGGAGGAAAGCTTATAGAAAGAACAATTGCAATGGTCTCCACTCTTCAGATCCTCTATTTGTTCTTCTCTGTAACTCAGTGAGTCATCATGGGGACAGCCAGGAATGATAAGACTGTACTAAAACTTCCAGTCCTTGAGAAATGTAAGACTCCGAAAGACTATGACCATCCTGACGTTCTGCGTCACACCTTTGAGACTCTATCTAACCTTCACAAGCTGCTTCCAAATCATCTGATGGAGCTGTTGTATTCCTACAAGAGTGAGGAGGACCGAGAAAAATGTATGTGGGTAGAGGGTAGGTGTGAAGTGTAAGCACACACTTGATCTTGATACACACTGCCGCTCCTTTCAGCCATAAGTGAGCACTTATTCTCTGTCTTGCAGATGTGGTCAGTCCTCAAGTCTCCTGGCCCACTTTGTACTAACTGTGCTGTAGGGGCCCAAGCACCGACTCACCATCACTTCTTTATGTTCCTTTTGTTTAAGAAGTCCTTCATGAACCAAGATAGGTCTAACTGTCACTCTTCTTTAGGTAAAGCATACCAGTGGAAAGACGGAAAGCAGATTCAAAGTGGAAAATATCCCACTAAAATTACAATTTCAGCTGTCAATTTGATTTCACAATTAGTGAGAGAACTTCCAAGTTGAAGGTCAGGCTTTGAAGTTTATTCTTCGCTCTATTTCCTACCACTCTTTTCGCCTTTGCCAGGATTATGCCACCCCAGAGAGAAGCTGGGCATTTCCCCTGAGGGTTATAAGCAGCCTTCACTTTTTGCAGTTTGGAGTAGCTCACCACTCCGGGCATTCCGCCAGGACAGTTGGTAACTGGACTGATTTGCAGAATTGGGTGGAGCCTGTCTCCTGTGTTGTTCTTGTTTAAGTAAAGGGCAAAGGTAGGTGGCAGCCACTTGTGTTCATGAGCTTAGGAAGCAAAGTAGTGACTGCTACAGTGATGAAGACTTGAGTCCTGGTGGGAAGGCGGGGACTGGGCCAGTGATTTTAAAACATTATGGCAAATTTGACCGTTGACATTTTGATTACTCCCTATCCCTGAATCCACAGTATTGTGAATCAATCCCAATATCCAGATTACATAAAAATCATCAAGAAAAATATAAGCAACCTAATAGAACAGGTGAATGTTACAGACAGGCAGTTCACAAGGTGAAATACAAATCGTCGGTAAGCATGAAAGATGTTCAAACACTCTGGAAATGAAGAAAATAAAAGATAAATCAAGGAGATATTTTTAGTTCATCATACTGGTCAAATTTAAAACGATCAGTAACGATGAACATGTGGGGAAATTAATACCCTCACAAACTATCGATGGCATGTTAATTGGTTAAGGCTTTTTTGAGAATAATTTGAAAGTCTTTGTAAACATTTTAAATATATGTTATTGGCTTATTGAATGAGTTGAACTTGATAAAGAGTAAGCAGAAAATAATTTTTATTATTTTTATTTTTTCACAACTGTCCTCTTTGACCCATTCTGTTTATCTTCTCTCCTCAGCTTTGGGTGAGATTACGAGCAGATCTCATAGCTTTCCTGGTCGTATTCAGATAATAAAAAGTGCATTCTAATATCCAAACTGTACCACCATTACCCAGTTTAAAACCTCTCTCCTCCCCACCGCTCTGGCCTGATTGAGACTCAGAAGCTGGGAGTGAGGGCCTGGCAGTGTGCTGGGTTTCTTTTCTCTTTCTTTCTTCTCTTCTCCCTCACTGGCTACTGTTACAGTGACAAGGTAGGGTGGAGGAGTTGAAAAGCTCTTCCTTGACTGGTAAAATATCAGATTGTGACCTGGCATTCGTGCTCTCTGGGTTGGCAACTTTTAAAAGCTGACCTTTTCTCTCCGGGGGCATTTGTGGGTTCTTTGGCAATTCCCCCTTGCTGGAGGTCTCTCACTTACACAGGTTCCTGCTGACACTTCCCCTCCTCCGTCCCCACTCCTGCCCCAGCTTTTGTATGGTACACTTCCATCCTGTTGCAACTGAGATTGCCTCACCCTTTGACAGAAGCCCTCTTGAGATCCTATTAAGATGACTCAAAACCAACTACTTTCCAGGGGGTTTACATATAACCCATAGAAAATGTGCACCCCTGTCCTCCATACCTTCAGCCAGTTGGTAAAGTACAACTGGCTTACAACACTGACCTGTTTTCTCTGTGGCCACTTCCCCCTACACTTTTCCAGGTATTAAGGCTTGAATTGTGTCCTCCAAAAAGGTATGTGGAAGTCCTAACCATCCCCGCCCCGCCCCCTGTGCCCCAGGACGTGACCTTATTTGGAAATAGGCTCTTCACAGAGGTGCCGACATAGTTAAGTTAAAATGAAGTCATACTGGAGTAGGGTGGGTTTTTAATTCAATATAACTGGTCCTTAAAAGAAGAGAGAGACACACGGGGAGATGACAACAGAGGCAGAGATTGGAGCAATGCATCTGTAAGTCAAGGAACACGACGGATCACTAGCAAACACTCGAGGTTTCAGAGGAAGCATGGCCCTGATGACACCTTGATTTTGGACTCCTAGTCTCCAGAAGTGTGAGACAATAAATTTGCTGTTTGGAGTCACCCAGTTTGTGGTGCTATGTTATGACAGCCCTAGGAAACTAATGCATCAAGTGCTAGGGCACACAGCCCAGTTCCCCAGGCAGTTCTCTTAAAGTACCTTCATTTGCCAGGGGGAGGAGAGATGCTATAGTACACAGCACTACAACAACTCTGCCTAAAGAAATCTTCAAGTGCCTTAAAGAACATTTAGCTTTTCCTTATATAGGCAGGTATGTTATGCATAGGTGGGTATGTGGCACCTACTGGATTTTTCTCAGATTGTGTGGCCTTAGGGCAAAACAGACAAAAGAAAAATTCTTATTTTAACATTCCATTACATATACATGTTCTGCAACTTAGCAATTCTACCTCGAGTTAGTATCCTAGAGAAATGCTCACACCTGTGTACTCAGATGCATGAAGGAAGATGTGCACTGCAGCATTGTTTATAATGGTGGGAACTGTAAACAGCCTAATGTCATTCAATAGCAGAATGATTAAATAAACTGCATCCATACTGTGGAATGCTATTAAAAACAAAGTTGACATTAAAATATCTACAAAACATACTGTCAAGTTTTAATAAACAAGCTGTGGAATAAGAACCAATGATTCCATTTATGCCAAAAGAAGACTGTGTATTTGTATGTACTAACTTAATAAGCAAATTCACCTGTTATTTTTCTCTCAAAATGAGTTTATTCAGGAATAGCCAAAAGAATTGCAATTCAGGATGCGCATGCTATGGTGAACCATGGACAAGTCCGGAGAACAAAGGATGGGAGCTGCCTTTATAGAGAAAAAGGGGGAGTGGGAGGGGCTGTTCTAAAGGAAAGTCCATTGGGAGAAAGTAGCAGTTCAGGGCAGCAACAGCTTCTCATTGGCTGAGCTGCAGTGTTTCTGATTGGCTGAGCTGAGGCATTTCTTATTGGCTGAGCTGTGGTGTTTCTCATTGGCTGAGCTGAGGCATTTCTCATTGGCTGAGCTGTGGCATTTCTCATTGGCTGGTGTGTTGCTAGGCAGGGAAAAAAATCTTCCTTCCTAGTAAAGTAGTTGCACTTCCTGTCGGATGCAAGATACTTCTCTTTCTGGTTGGACTAATTGATGATGTGTGATAAGACATGGGAGCTCTCCCTACAGGCCTTCCTGATCCAATTTAAAGTTCCTTTTATTAAGAGGAACAGTATAAATATGTATGTAATTGCATAGAAAAGAGTTCTGGAAAGAGACGCTCAAAATTCAGGATGGTGGCTACCTCTGGAGAAAGAATAGAGATTGGAAGAAGAAAGATGTTCCTTCTATGTATACTTCTTTAAGTTGTTTGATTTTATTTATTCCAATGAAGATCTTTTCATGTATTTTTGTAAATAAAGTGAAATTGTAAAATGGAAAATGCAGGGAGTGTTTATGTGAAGTGTGTTTGATTTTCTAGTGATTTTACAGTTATATTTTGGTTTAGATTTTGTTCCCTGAGCATCCCAATGTAGGCATTAATAGATATTGAAAATCCTTTAGCAACCAGGAGTGTTCCTGCCACGTAAAACTGCTGCCCGTTATTGTTGAGGTGCCTTTGTTTCAGAGGTGTTTGGCCACAGTGATTCTTTGCTGTGGTTGGAAACAATGGAAAGAGTTGCAGGATGCAGCTGATGTGAACTGCGTTCGCTGTTTGGGAGGAGGAAGCGTTTGCTCTGAGTCCTGAGTCTGTGCTTTGGAGGATCTGGGCCTGAGGCAGAATCCAGTCAGTGAGGGGATGTTAGCCTTTGAGGTCCTGAATTCTTCACTAAAAGGCTGCTTTCTTTCCAAAATACCATTTCCAAATGTTCAGTGATTGCCTTGAAACTGCATCCTGAAGTGACCCTATTTCACACTCTCATCTGTCAGATTATGAATTTGATAACAGATATGCGTGTCTCACTGTCGCTGTGTCTAAAGCCTTCCTTCTAGCAGAAATTTCATCTGACCTTAAACACAGGGCCCTGCCCCCTGCCATCCCCCTCTCCATCTGCAGGGCAGCTCTGCCTGGATTAGACTATATTTGTTACACAGAGCAATTACAAGGACAAAGAAAAAGAACCAAAGATTTATAGCTAAAACCCAAGGCTTTTCTTCTATATGTTAAATAAAAGCAAGTTAAGTCATAAGAACAACATAAAACTAAGAGATGAGGATCCATTATATTATCTGAGTAAAGATATACTGCTGTCCAGACAATTGTCTTCAAATCATCACAAGCCTCTGTGAGAGGTCCTCCTCCTCCTGCCCATGCCCCAGTGCAGCCACGTGCGGCTTATCCTGAGAGCTCCTTAGCACTTGTTCTATGATGTTTAATACCTTCTCCATACCAGTTCCCTAAAGGACTGACTGGCGCCAAACCAAAAAATAGGAAGTGTGAGGAAGTTTAAAGTTTTGTTTGTTATTTTTAATGCTTAAGAAGATGCCTCTCTTGGTTAATTCACTGCTTTTTCCCACCAAATACTTTGGGAAATTGCCTAACTGGATGGTGGGGACATCCAGGGAGAGGCGGGGTGGGCAGGAAGGGTGGTTTCCACAGATCAAGTGGGCTTGAGGAGGAGGCCCAGGGGGCCATTTCAGAAGCAGTGTGTGTGGTTCCCGTGCCGGCAGTCCACCAATGGCCACAAAAGTCCCTAACTTTCGTTTACACATTGAAGAAGACAAACCATCTTAAAGCCCAAAGTTTTAAGTTACTTATTTTTACTGTCTGTAGTAAACACACACACACGGTGGCTTGTGTACTGGTTTATACACCTTATCTATGCTGATTTGTATTGTGATTACTAATTCATCCATCCATTTGTCCGTCCATCCATCCATCAAACTTGTATTGCATTCAACGCATTAAAATAAGAAATTGAAAAAAAACATACAAGCAGTTTACAGTCCACTATCTCCAAAATCTCAACTATAAATTTACAATCAATGTTATTTTACTTCCAATAATTTCTTGAGGCTTTCCTATGCTCATTGTACTTTCTTTCAAAACCAGGAAACTTGCTTATAATTTCAGATGAGGCTGGCCATAAGACCCAATTAAATATTCACATTGAGTTCTGAGTCTTTATCTTATTTTGGTGTGCAGTACTAAATATAATTATTCATACTGGAGAATATGAGAATTTGTAATTTTTGTTAAATGTTATTCTGTCTAATTTATCCATAGCTGCTTACAAAAAGGATTTGAGGCAGTTTACAATGTTAAAATATGTGTATACAATAAGGCAATCAAAACCAATTCATTTGAAGCAAAAAAGAAATAAAATTTAGTTGGATGTCACCAAATACCCAAATTGAGTTAAGTAATTTAACTGAATATTAAATTTAGTTTTGAAATTCTGACAACCAAAGCAAACTCTATGCGATTCCCATTGTTTGAATGTGCCTGTGAGAGCTTCTCGGTGCCTGGGGGTGTGACGGTGCTGCTCACAGCAGGGCGTGGAAGCCGTCTGGGCTCAGCCCTAGACCAGTGGGCAGGAGCCCCAGAGTCCAGCCCTGTTCCTGACTCATCCGGTGGTTTTCAGGTCTCTAAGGATCAATTTATTCATCGAGTCATTATACGTTTAGTCAGATTGCCATGTTATGATCCCTTGAACCAATTCTTGGTTCTTTGGGGTCTCTACCAGTTGCTCCGTCTGGGAGGAATCATCAGTGGTCCAGCCTGACAATAACAGGGACTGGCGAGTGCTGATCCAATTCCTATGGAGGGTCACACTGAATCTCTCTGAGGCTTAGCTTCTCTTCCTGCATTCGGTTTATGACAGCTCTCTTATTTTCTACAGCACCCACATGGATTACAGAGCTACTCACAATGTAGCCTGCAGACTGGCTTTGGTTCTCAAATTTACCAGCTGGCAAAGAGATAAGAAGCTTCCACTACAATATAAGTCAGCTGTGTCCCTAAACACACTATGTAGTTCAACCGACTCTCCTTTCTTCCCTTCTTCCTTCTTTTGTAGCAAGATCGTTTTGATGAAGGAAGCAGTGTATTGAATTACATTCTGGCACAAGCTCTTTGTCTCATTGCAGGTGGGCAATTTGCTTAGGGCCAGTTGAGGTCAGTGTGAAGCAGTGGATGTGATGTAAATGCAGAGTGTGGCTAATACCTCTGAAGACAAAAATAATGGCACAGTAACGTGCCATTAGTTTGAGAATCATGCACAAATTCCACAGATAACCTTCAGTATTTCTGGTGGTACCAGCAAATCTGTTTGTTCATTCATTCATTCATTTATTGCCGTGCATCTATAAGATGTCTAGGACCAGGCTAAGGTCTACATGTTACTCAGTAATATTTTTGGAATGAAGGAATGGCAAGAGCTAAATAGCAATTATTAAGTGGCATAAATATTCTTTCTCAAATTAATGCTATGTCACTCTTGCTGTGCAAAGATGGAAAGGAATGCTGAATTGCATTAATGCTTATTCTACTACTAGGTGAGAAGAATTCTGAACTCTCTGGCTTAGAAAGGATCTTAGCAAGACATAAGTTTCCAAAAGAGATTAATCTGACCCCAAAGCCAAGCAATATGCCCCTGTGGAAAAGAAAAGCTGTCAACAATGTAAGTCATGGGTGGAAGAAATGCTACTTGTGGAATAAAAACACGAAGGACCCTCCATTGTCAACCATAGTTGTCCGGTAGGTGTGTAATCTTGTCCCCTCTTTATGTCTTAGCTAAAAAGTGACTTAATGTGGTCTTTGAGATATATGGTCAGCGTGAAAACAAGCACTGCTCTGTATAAAAGCACACGAGCCCTATTTTCACACACCTCAAGTGTCTGGAGGACCCCTCATTAGGAGAAAACTCATGGAGACAGGAGCAGATGTGTGGGTCCCCCAGAGGCCATTGCATTCTAGGTTAGTGAGATCCAGCAGGGCTGGAGTGGGATTTTTGGAGAGGGACCCAACCACTGAGCTGTGGGGCTTTTATGCTGTATGCGTCAGGAAGCACCAGCGCACCCCTAGCATGACCAGGGGCCTAGGATACAATCCTATGAATGGTAGAACCTCGGCTTTATCTCTAGTCTGCCAGATTTTACACTGACAGAAATGGGAGGCCATTGCAGGGTCTTAAAAAGAGGCATGACACCTCCTGACTTGAATCCTCCCTGGCCTCTAGGGGAGCAAGGGTGGAAGCAGGAGCGGGATCCTGGCCTCTGGACCAGGCAGTAACAGTGGGGATGTGGAATTGGTTGGATTCTGGCACTCAAAGCTATAAGCTTTGGTTCCTTGGCAAGTTATCTTTGTTGGTACACTTCCTTCCCCGATTATGCCAGACAGATGGTGTTTCTATGTTTGTTTTAGTGTTGCTACATGTATTGTTGTACAATACCTAATAAGTGCTTCCTACATTTTGCACATAGTAGGTATTCAAAACATGTTGCTGCCAGGCTGACAGGAGGAATGTATAATTAGCTATAAAGACAGTGTTCTTTCTGCTTTGAAGGTAACAAACACAGAGAATTCCAGCTCATGAATTTGCCTGTACCGGAAGCACCCACTGGGGTCATTGCTCCACTGAAATAATTTCCATGTCTACTTTTGTTTACAGTGTCCTCAGTGGCATAATTTGACAATTTGATTTAAAAATCTGTATTTAAAGAAGGGAAAGACATGTTATAAAAGAATTAGAACCATATATTTTCTTCTTAGACAATGCAAGGCACTGAATCTTTGTCCAGATTAAAGGTAGAAGTTATTTTAAACAATGATCCCTGACTACTCAAGCTAAAATTATTTGACCATACTTTGGAGACCTATAAATAAAGAAAAAATAGGTGAAGTTTCACAACCACAGAAAGTTTATACACCTCAATTTCAGACCATAATGTCTTCACATGAACAAATATATCTTACTTTACATCCTGCTTTGTTTCTGAAAATATAGCTAGGTTGTTAGAACATAAGAAACAATACTTATTTACTCATATTTCCTTCTACAAGCATTTATTTTCTTTCTTTAAAAGTGAGGCTGGTAAAAGTAGGCACCCTTGACTTGTTCTCAATCTCAGGGGGAAATAGCTCAGTATTATGTTGGCCATAGGTTTTTGTAGATCATCAGTTTGAAGAAGTTCACTACTGTTGCTAGTTTGCTTAGTTTTTATCATGAATGGATATTGAATTTCGACAAATGCTTTCTCTGTATCCATTAAGTTGGTCGTATTTATCTTTTCTATTAATATGGTGAATCACATTGCTTTTTAAAAATATTTTTTATCACGGTAAAATGTACATAAAATTTCCCATTGTACCCAGTTTTTAAAGTGTACAGTTCGGTGGCATTAAGTCCATTCACATTGTGCAACCATCACCACCACCCATCTCCAGAACCTTTTCATCTTCCCATTAAACAATAACTTTCTATTCTCTCATCCCCCCAGAGCCTGCAACCACCATTCTACTTTCTGTCTCTATGAATTTGCCTATTCTAAGTACCCCAAATAAGTGAAATCATACAATATTTGTCCTTTTGTGTCTAGCTTATTTCATTTAGCATAACGTCTTCAAGTTTCATCCATGTTGTAGCATGCATCAGAATTTCATTCCTTTTTTAGGCTGAATGCTGTTCCATTGCATGTATGTGCCACATTTTGTTTGATCCATTCTATGGACATTTGGGTTGCTTCCACCTTTTGGCTATTTTGAATAATGCTGATATAAACATGAGTGTGCAAAGATCTGTTTGAGTGTTTACTTTCAATTCTTTTGAGTATATACCCAGAAGTGGAATTGCTGAATCATATGGTAATTCTACATGTAATTTTTTGAGTAACTGCCATACTGTTACCCACAGTGGCTGCGCATCTTCCATTCCCATAAGCAATGCACAAGGGTTCACATTTTTTACATCCTTGCCAACATGTGTTACTTTCTGGATTTTTTTGATTATTTGTTTTTGTTTTTGATAATAGTCATCCTTATGGGTTTCAAATAATATCTTGTTGTTTCAATTTGCATTTCCCTATTGATTAGTGATGTTGATCTTCTTTTCATGTGCTTATTTACCATTTGTGTATCTTCTTTGGAGAAATGTGAATTCAAGTCCTTTGCCTGTTGTTTAATTGGGTTGTTTATTTTTTGTTGTTGTTGAGCTGTAGGAGTTCTTTATATATTCTGGATATTAATCTCGTATCAGACACATTTGCAAATATTCCCTCCCATTCTGTGGGTTTTCACTTTGTTGATAGTATCCTTTAATGAACAAAAGTTTTTAATTTTGATGAAGTTCAATTCACCTATTTTTTTGTTGTTGCTTCTGTTTTTGGTGTCATATCCAAGAAATCATTGCCAAATCCAATGTCATGAAGTTTTTCCTAAGAAAACTTCTAAAGAGTTTTTTTGCTAAGAATTTTATACTTTTATCTCTCTTACTTTTAAGTCTTTGATCCATTTTGAGTTAACTTTTTTATATGGTGTAAAGAGTCCAACTTCATTCTTTTGCATGTGGATATCTAGTTTTCCTAGCACCATTTATTAAAAATACCATCCTTTCCCTATTGAATGGTCTTGGCACCCTTGTTGAAAATCATCTGATTATATATGCAAAGGTTTATTTTGAGTTTTCTGTTCTATTCCATTGGTTTATATGTCTACCTTTATGCTGGTACCACATTATTTTGATTATTGTAGCTTTATAGTAAGTTTTGAAATCAGGAAGTGTGTCTACCAACTTTGTTTTGTTTTTTCAAGACTGTTCTGGCAATTTGGGGTCCCTTGAGATTCCATATAAATTTTGGATGGATTTTTATATTTCTGTAAGAACACACCATTGGAATTTTGATTGATTGCATTAAATTTGTAGCTCACCTTGGGTAGTATTAATATCTCAATATTAAGTCTTCCAATCCATGAACATGGGATATCTTTCCTTTTATTTATGTCTTACTTAATTTCTTCCAGCATGTTTTATAATTTTCATTATACAAATCTTTTGTCTCCTTGGTTAAATTTTTTCCGAAGTATATTCTTTTTGATACCATTGTAAATTGAACAGTTTTCTCAATTCCCTTTTTGGATTGTTGATTGCTAGTGTATAGAAATGCAACTGATTTTTGTGTGTAGATTTTTTTTCTCCCCAAAGCCCCAGCACATAGTTGTATGTCCTAGTTGTGAGTCATTCTAGTTCTTCTATGTGGGATGCTGCCACAGCATGGCTTGAAGAGCAGTGCTGGATCCACACCCAGGATCCAAACCAGCAAACCACAGGCAGCTGAAATGGAGTGTGCAAACTTAACCACTCGGCCACAAGGCCAACCCCTGTGTGTGGATTTTGTATCCTGCAATTTTGATAAATTTATTTATTAGTTCTATCTTTTTTTGGTGGAATCTTTAGGGTTTTCTACATACAAGATCATGTTACCTGCAAACAGAGATAATTTTATTTCTTCCTTTCCAATTTGAATGCCTTTTATTTCTTTTTCTTAATTTCTCTGGTTAGAACTTCTAGTACTATGTTGAATAGAAGTAGTGAACGCAGGCACCCTTGTTTTGCTTCTGATCTGAGAAGGAAAGGTTTCAGTCTCAGAAAGATGTCATCTTGTTGGGGTGCTGATCTCTAGTGTTTTCTGTTTGCGGGGGTGAGGAATGCACTCACAGAAACCTTTCGTTAGATATACTGAAAGCTCCAAGGGTGGTATGGCCCAAAGGTGACTGCATGACAAGGTTGGCCTTGGGAACAGCTGGCTACTGTCTTTCCCCTCTGAATTTCCCTCTAGAATGAAGGTTGTTCAGTAGTAATGTTTTGCACCAGATTTAAAAAAAATTAAGTATAAAACCAAAGTATGATTTTAACCATGGATGAGTATGATGTTACTTGTGGGTTTTTCATATATGGCCTATATTATGTTGAGGTAGTTTCCATCTATTCCTAGTTTGTTGAGTGTTTTTATCATGAAAGGGTGTTGAATTTTATCACATGTTTTTGCAGCATCAAGTGAGATGATCATGTGTTTTTTTCTCTTCATTCTGTTAATGTGGTATATTACATTGATTGATTTTCATATGTTGAACCATCCTTGCATTCCAAGACTAAATCTTACTTGGTCATAGTGTATAATCTTTTAATATGCTTTTATATTTGGGTTTTATAGTTATTTTGTTGAGGATTTTGCATCAATATTAATAAGGGGTATTGGTCTGTAGTTTTCTTGTAGGGTCTTTGCCTGGCTTTGGTATTAGAGTAATGCTGGCCTCATAAAATGAGTTAGGAAGTATTCCCTTCTCTTCAGTGTTTTGGGAGAGTTTGAAAAGGACTGGTGTTAATTCTTTTTTAAATGTTTTGTAGACTTCTCCAGTGAAGCCAGCTGATCCTGGGGCTTTCTTTGGGAGGTTTTTAATTAGTGATTCAATCTCCTTATTAGTTATAGTCTACTCAGATTTCCCATTTCTTCATTATTCAGTCTTGGTAGTTTGTGTGTCTAGGAATTTGTCCATTTCATCTGGGCTATCCAATTTTTTGGCATACAGTTGTTCATAGTAACCTTTTGTATTTCCATGAAATTGGTAGTAATGTCCCCTCTTTCATTTCTGATTTTAGTTATTTAAGTCTTCTGTTTTTCTTGGTCAGTCTAGCTAATAGTTTGTCATTTTTGTTGCCCTTTTCAAAGAACTAACTTAGTTTTGTTGATTTTCTCTGTTGCTTTTCTATTCTCTTTCTTTGCTTTAATCTATATATTTTTTTCCTTCCTTCTGCTAGCTTTGGGTTAAGTTTGTTCTTCTTTTACTAGTTTCTTGGGGTGTAAAGCTAAGTTGTTGATTTGAGATCTTTCTGTTTTTTTAATGTAAGCACATACAGCTATAAATTTCCCTCTTAGCACTAATGTTTTTCATCTCATAAGTTTTGGTGTCTTGTGTTTTCATTTGTCTCAAGATATATTCTAATTTCCCTTGTGATTTCTTTGACCTGTTTGTTGTTTAAAAGTGTGTTATTTAATTTTTACATATTTGTGGATTTTCCAATTTTCTTTCTGCTGTTAATTTCTAGTTTCAGTCCACTGTGATTAGAAAAGATATTTTTCATGATTTGAATCTTTTAAAATTTATTAAGACTTGTTCTGTGGCCTAACATATGATCTCTCCTGAAGAATGTTCCATGTGAACTTGAGAAAAATGTGTATTCTGTCATAGCTGGGTAGTGTTCTATATACGTCTGTTAGGTCCAATTGGTCTATAGTGTTGTTCAAGTCCTTTATTTTCTTATTGAGCTTCTGTCTGATTTTCTATCCACTACTGAAAGTAGGGTATTGAAAGTAGGGTATTGAAGTCTCCTACTATTATTGTAGGGCTATTTCTTTTTTCAATTCTGCCAATGTTTGCTTATATATATTGGCATTCTAATATTTGGTGTGTAAATGTTTATAATTGTTATATCTTCTTTCTGTATTGACCCTTTGCTCATTATATTATGTCCTTATCTCTTATAACAGTTTTTGAGTCTATTTTGCCTGATATTGGTATAGCCATCCCTGCTCTCTTTTGATTACTATTTGCATGGAATCTTCTTTTTCATCCTTTTACTTTTAACCTATTCATGTCCCTAGATGTAAAGTGAGACACTTGTAGGCAGTATATAGTTGAATTCTGATTTTTTAATTCTATTCTGTCAATCTGTGTTTTTTTGATTGGGGAGTTTAATCTATTTACACTTAATTACTGATAAAGAAGCACTTACTTTTGCTATTTTGTTTTCTGTATGTCTTATATTGTATTTTTTGTCCCTCATTTCCTCCATTACTGATTTCCTTTGTGTTTAGTTGATTTTTGGCAGTGACACATTTTGATCCCCTTATTTCTTTCTGTGTATTGTCTATGGATATTTTCTTTGTGGCTTCTATGAGGATTACATATAACATCCTAAAGTCACGATGATCTGTCTTAAATTGTTACCAACTTATCTTCAACTGCATACAAAAACTACTCTTTACAGCTCTGCACCTCCACTTACCTTATTAATGTCACAAATTATATTTTTGTATATTGTATACCCATTAACATAGATTTATATCTTATGCATTTGTTTTTTAAATCCTGTAGAAAGTGAAAAGTGGAGCATTTAGCATTTCTTATGGGGCAGGTCTAGTGGTAATGAATTACCCTAGCTTTTGTATAGGAATCTATTAAATTTTTCCCTCATTTTTGAAGGACAGTTTTCCCAGATGTAGAGATACCAGTTGATGATTTTTTTTCTTTCAGCACTTTAAATATATCATCCCACTGCCTTCTGGCCTGCAAGGTTTCTGAGGAGGAATCTGCTGATAGTCTTATTGGGGAATCCCTTCTATGTGATGAGTTGCTTTTCTCTTGCTGCTTTCAAGATTCACTCTTTTTCTTTATCTTTGACAGATTTGATTACAATATGTCTCAATGTAAGCATCTGTGTTTTTCCTACTTATGGTTCATTGAACTTCTTGAATTTCTATATCCATGTCTTTCCTGAAATTTGATAAGTGTTCAGCCATTATTTCTTCAAATACTTGCTCTGTCCCTTTCCTTCCTCCTCCTGGGACTCCCATCGTGTGTACCTTGGTCTGCGTAATGGTGTTCCATAAGTCCCTTCAGCTCTGTTCACTTTTCATTCTTCTTTTTGCTCCTCAAGCTCAATAATTTTAAATGACCTCTCTAAGTTTGCTGATTCTTCCTTTTACCTATTCAAGTATGCTGTTGAACGCCTCTAGTGAATTTTTAAATTCAGTTATTGTAATTTTCAGCTACAGAATGTTTTTTACATCTTTGTTGGTATTCTTGTCTGTTCATATATTGTTTTCCTGATTCCTTTAGTTCTTTGCCCATATTTTCCTTTAGCGCTTTTGAACATATTTGACAGCTGTTTTAAAGGCTTTGTCTAAAAAGTCTGATGCCTGTGTTTCTTCAGGGACTGTTTCTGGAGATTTTTTCCCTTTCAATGGGCCATGTTTCCCTGTTTCTTTACTTGTCTTATGACATTCGTTGAAAATTGGGCATTTGATAAAACAGTCCTCTCTCCCAGTGTTGGCACACTGGTGTGTAAGACCTTCTCTAATTAATGGGCCCATGAACCTTGAGATCCACCCAAGCCTTCCCATGTCTTTTCTGGGCATGCTGCTTTCTAGGCCTGTGGGTATATTTTATTTTTTATTTTCCCCTGTTTGCAAATGTCTTAATTTCCTGAAGAATCTCACTCCAGCTTTTCCTCAGGGCCTTAAATGCTCTATTGTATTCCTCTGCTTGTAATCTCTTTTTCTGCAATTAGCTTGTACTTTTCATGTGTTTCATTGCCTGCCACTACTCTCTGTGGTTTCTAGCCTGAGGTTCAAACTTTGCCAATGTTTCCTGTCTGAACTTTGAGTCAGGCGAGATATCAATCACTCCCTCAGACAGCCCAGAGGCAGCATTTGGGCAATGCTGCAAACGAGCTCCATTCTGCTCCTCTGTCCCAAGGGAGGCAGCCAGGAATGGGGCCGATTCCTCCCAACCACACCACACAGGGCAGTGGGGAGGGCAAGAGTGAGTGAAAACAACACAAAATTTCCTGTGACTTTTAACATGATTTTTTTCTCAATTGGACATTGGCTTGCTGTAGATGTTTGACTGGTTCCTGTAGTTGTTTACTTAATGTTTCTATGGGGGAAATGAGGGCCTGAAACTTCCTAGCTCACCATCTTGCTGATATCACTGTTTATTCATCTTTTCTCAATATTTTTTTTCTGTTCTTCACATTGTTTAGTTTCTATTGATTTATCTTCCACGGTGACTCCTTCCTTTGTCTAGATTCTCTCATGAGTCCCTCCATAATTTTTTTTAATTTCAGATTTTCAGTTGTAAATTTATTTGGTTCTCTTTTTGAGGTTTGTGTTTCTCTGAGAATTCATATACTTTTAATCATTTCAAGTGTGTTTTTCTCTACTACATGGAGCACAGGTATAAGAATTGCTCTAAAGTATTTGTGTGACAATTCTAACAACTAGGTCATCTCAAGATTGACTGGTGTTGTCTTTTTTCATCTGAGAGTGTTCATTTTATGGTCTTTTGTATGTCAAATAATTTTAGATTGCATTATGGGCATTGGGAATATTATGTTCCATGGACCCTGAGTCCTGTTAAAATCTGGAGACTATTGATGTTTTTGTGGGTCCTCTTACAATTGTCAGGAAAATGTTGATATTTTTGTTTTAGCAAGTAATCAACCTGATTAGGTTCAGACTATAAGCTCTGTCTTGATCTTGTATAGGTGGTGGTGAAAATCCCAGTTCAGTTCTCAAAGGCTTTACTATGGTGATTTGAGTTTGTCTCACTCGTGAACCTTAGACTTGCACAGGCTCTTAGACAAAATCAGGGCAACGTCTCTCTCTCTCTCTCTGCTCTGGGATTTTCCTGTCACTTTCACTCTTTAATCCCCAGGGGATTCTTTTGCTGGTTAAAAAAGATGTTTTTCTTTACCTCGAATTTTATTTAGCCAGCTATGCCATGGCCATCACTGCACTGCTCCACAACGGAGGTCTACCCTTGAGGCATAAGTCACATGTTCAGGAAAGAGATCCCAGCAAGTGTCTCCTTATTTCCCACAATCTGAGAAACTCAGCCCTGCACAGCTGCTTCTCCATACTCTGATGCCTTAACATGATCCATCTGCTTTTGTTTAGTTTTAGCATCATCAAGTAGCTGTTTTTCATATTCTGTGCAGAGATTTTAGTTGAAGTTAGTGGGAAGGATGGGCAGTAGTTGTTAGCTCATGGTGACACAGTGGAACTGGAACTCTGTGCAACAACAACACAAGCTGGGAGTTTGACTCTGGAAAAGCTACTCAAATCTCTATGCCTCTGGATCCCTGCTTGTAAAATGGTAGTTGCAACAGTACCTACCTCATTTTTAATTTTTGGTGGTGTTTATTGAGGATAAAACGTGATTATGGGCATTGAGTACTAATAAGAAACAGTAAGTGCTCAATAAACATTAATGGTTACTACTATTCATATATTTTTCTATGAGACTGAACATTTTGGATTGAGATTACTGAAATAAAAAAATTAAGAACTAAAAAGTTAGAGGTTTGGAGGGTTGGCTACTTGGATGCTGACGCTTGAAGGAAAGGTTAAAAAGGAAGGAGGAGGGGCCAGTCCTGTGGCCAAGTGGTTAAGTTCAGCATGCTCCACTTTGGTGGCCCAAGTTTGGTTCCTGGGCAGGGACCTGCACCACTCACTGGCAGCCATGCTGTGGCAGTGACCCACATACAAAATAGAGGAAGATTAGCACAGATGTTAGTTAAGGGCAAATCTTCCTCAGGGTCGGGGGGAAAGGATATTTAGAAGAGCACAATATTCCATGCCAATTATGTAGCCATGGAATTACCCCCTCATCCTTGTCAACTGATACATGTAGCAGTAATCAAAACAGAAAGTTGCAAGGAAAGTTAAGGCAGCTTACAGGTATGCCTTTTATAAAATACATTAAACAAGAATGAAAACTACTTAATAAATAAGGAGAGACTTACCAATACAGAGCATTGCTGTCCAATGAAATGACCCAATTCTCCCTTCATGCCTTTTTATTAAATTACGGGGAAAAAATGAAACTATGATTCTTATTTATTTTCTAGTATTACTCCTCCTCTCATTTTCTCCCTTGCTAGGTGGCTGAATAAGAACATGCAACCTAGTGAAGATCTGGAGTCGATAACCGAGAGGCTGTCAGTGTTTGGACCAATTCAGTCAGTTACCCTTTGTGGCCGGCAAAGTGCTGTAGTGGTGTTTGAAGACACGATTTCAGCTTGTAATGCTGTGAATGCTTTGCAAAGCAGGATCCCAGGCACAATGTTTCAGTGCTCCTGGCAACAACGATTCATGTCAAAAGATGTAAGACTCCCTATTACCAAAAACCTATATAAATTCTTAAAGCTTGTTTTACATAATTTGTTTTTAATCAGGACTCTAGTGAAATATGATCATCACAGATGATATTTTAGCACTGACAAAAGGCATAGTAGAGTATATTTAGATCAAGTATTGGAAATCAGGAATAAGGGCACATCCCTTCCTTGGAGACGCTTCACTCTGCTGCAGGAGGCATCATAGCTTTGCTCTTTTGGATAAGAAGTTCATGACCGCGTTCACGGCTTCATCGGACAGCACTGTTCCCTGGAGGACACTGTTTTCTTCAACATTAACAGAATGTAGCTTTTCTTTCTCCCTATTTCTGATGACCTGTTTTGAAATTCTCAAGACCTGTCAAAACAAAACCAACAATAAGGTTAAGAGGTATTCTGACAGGAGTGGATTGTTTTATAATTCTGATTCTCGTTTCTCTATTGTTCATTTAACCTTGTTACACCTTAAGATGTATGTGTGATATAAGACAGTAGTTCTCAAACTTTAATGTGCATACAAATAATCCCAGCACATGTGGGAAGAGCTTGTGATCACACATTTCTAAAAGCTCCACATAGATACTAAAGCTTCTGGTTCCAGGACCATATTTTGAGCAGCGAGAATATAAAAGCAATCAGTCACTAGCTTCACATACAAAACCTCAAGTGCCACATGGTAGGAATCTCCTAAAAGTCAACCTCGCTGGTTCTCACTGGCTTCAAGAATAAAAGCGCTCAGCAAACACTGCCTACCACCCCCCTCAAAGTCATCCCCAGGAAGAACTGTCCTTCTGTCTTCATGTCACAGAAATGAAATGACTATTTGATAAGTTTTGTAAAAATCAGTATTTCTAATATTATTATGGTTATTTTTAATCTCAAATTTAGATGTACTTAAAGTCAACCAAGATATGTCTTGGTTTTCTAATTGCTTATGCTCTTAAGGCAAATAAGTTATTTCCATGCCTCCTACAAGTAAAGAAAATGAATCCTAACATTTGAGGGGAGCTTTGCATATGCTTTCAGTCTGGTCCAAACTTCTTTCTGAAAAGTACGATCAGGAAAAACTTCAGTAACAAGTCCTTGAGCACATGCTTCTTCTGCTGTTAACTTCTTTCCAAAAATAAGCATCTCTGTTGCCTGAAATGAAAAGCACGATTAGGACATTACCTTAATTAAACAAGGCTCAGTTAAATTCAGACTTAACTGAATTTCAGTGGACATAGGGAAATTTACTTATGGCTTTTGAGTATTTCTCATGAAGGGAGAAATTAATGACTTCAATAGGCAATGGTGTGTGCTGAGACCATCTTAGGCTCCTAGCAGGTTTGGAGGCTTGTTGCCTCTGTGGGTGTCTGCGTTGGAGAGGCAAGAGTAGGGAGCCTGGGGCAGAAATGACCTGAAGCAGATGCTGATTCTATAGCCCCTGGCAGCTGTGATTTTCCATCTTATACACTATAAACAATTATAAAAGAAGAAACAAAAATCATCATCATAAGGAATGCCACTCCACTTTTAGAAACACTAGCCTTCAAAATCCCCTAGGCATTCTACCCAGTGGTCCAGCGCTGACAGTTTTCTTTACCTGCACGGGTACTCAGGTTAGTTCTACTTGACCAAAGGAAAGGGAAAAAGACTAACGTTCAGTTTCTAACAAAACCGAGGTCATTAGGTGGATATCCTTCTCTACATTTGCAATTTCTCGTCCAGAAAAGTAAAGACTATTTCAGAGCCAAATGCTCTAAGCCTTAGAGTTGGTTCTGCCCAAACTTTCAAAGTTAAATCTGCATAACAATTCAGGGTAGGTGACAGAATAGATATTTAAAATATATATATTTTCAACAAAAACCTAATAGCAATGAAAATAGGCTCAATTCCCACTCTCCCCTTTCAGATCTCAAAGAGCATCTGCTGAGCCTTCCCCCAGCCCCTGGCTCTCCAGTCTTGTCATGATCCCCTTGGAGTCATGCACACACAGCCTGGGCAACTAGGTTTCCATGAACACAGTGACAGATCCGAACTGCCACTTAACCACTCCGGGAGCCTTAATACGGCAGTCAGACAGGCTGGTGGAAAGGCTGTAGTGACTGGGAGTGGCTTCAGAAGTGGTAGACGTCCATGAGGCCTCACATCTACTGGTACTTCACATGACTCTGGAAGTCAAGATGTCCTCATATCACTTTCAAATGGATGCTGCTCATCCATAAGGAAATTAAGTGGACGAATGAGCTCAGCAGACCCATGGAGGCTGGCACAGCCCTGGTCCTTCAACTGACTAACGCCACACAGCTGTAGCGGATGAGGCCCATGCTGCTCACAACGCAGCTGCCCTGGGCACAGCTGCAAGAGCAGCATCCCAGTTTCGGGAGTTGCAGAGAGTTTTTAATTCTCCCTCATACTAGACATTTCCCATAGCCCAGCTCCTCTATACTTCAAACGAAGCCTAGAGTTAGGGAGCAAATAATTCACTTCTCTCTCTTTTGTCTACATTATTGAAGGAAAGAAAACTAGTAGGGATTACTTTTGGAACAGAGATGACTTATGAAAATTTATTCTTAAGGCTTCCAAAGGTTACCTTGGTTGGGCCCATTATCTTCGGAAAAGTGTAAGAGGAGCATCCTTCTGGATGTAAGCCTAAGCGACTAAAAGGAGTATGAAATGTTGCCTATTTGGAGAAAAGAAAGGAGAGAAAAGAAAATCATCTCTTCATATGTGATTTTTAAAAATCACTATTTGTCTATATCTTCACAATACTTAATTGAACAATACTTTTTAAGAATCATGATTATTGTGGTATTATTATATATACACAAAATTCACTGTCTTAAAGTATGCAGTTTGATGAGTTTTAACATATGTATTCAGTTATGCAATCACCACCATAATCAAGATGGAGACTATTTCCATCACCCCAAAAAGTTCCCTTGTGTCCCTCTGCAGTCAGTCCCGTCCTCTCACCCCCAAGCAACCACTGATGTGTTTTCTGTCCCTATGGTTTTGCCTTTTCTAGAATGTCATATAAATGGAATCACACCTTCTGTAGTCTTTTGTCCTTTTGTAGGCTTCTCTCCTTAGTGTAAGGCTTCTGAGGCCCCAGGCTGCTGCATGCATTAGTAGTTTGTTCCTGGTTATTTCTGAGTAGTATTTCATTGTATGGATGTGTCACAATTTGTTCATGCACTCACCAGTTGATGTCATTGGTATTATTTCCAGTATTTTGGCTATCACAAGTAGGGTTGTTATGATAATTTGCGTATATGTCTCTGCAAGAACCTATGTTTTCAATTCTCTTGGGTAAACACCTAGGGGTGGAAGTGCTCAGTTGTGTGTAAATGTAACATTTAACTTTATAAGAAACTGCCAAACTATATTCCAAAATGGGGTACCATTTAACATTCCCACCAGCAGTGTATGCATTCCAATTGCTCCACATCCTTGCTAAACCTTGTTATCATCAGTCTTTTTAATTTTAACTATTCTAGTAGGTGTGTAGTGGTGTCTCACTGTGGTTTGAATTTACGTTTCCCTATTGATTAATAGGGTTGAGCATCTTTTCATGTAGTTATTAGCCATTTGTATATCTTCTTTGGTGAAGCAACTGTTACAATACTTTATGCGCTATTTTTAAGTTACATTGGTTATACTTTTATTATGGAGTTGTAAGAGTTCTCTATATATTCTGGTTTCAGGTCATCTTCTTAATGGTGTCTTTCTCGTACGTGTTTAAGAGCCATTTATACATATTATCTGTGGGCTATTTATTCCTCTCCATTGCTCATTTTTATGTTAAGGTGTTGATCTTATCACTTTATAGATGTAGTTTAAAAACTATGTTAGAGAGATTAACTTTATTATATTAGTTGAAAAATTGTTTCCTCAATCTGTCATTTGTCTTGATTTTGCTCCAGAGGTTAATTGGCTTTAAATACTAGAATCTACCTCAATATTAGTTATTTAGAATATAAAGTCATTTTCAGCATTTAAGAAATATTTTTGTGTTCCTTGATGAATAAAAAGTCTTTATGAAAGGAAATTAATTTATAATTGACAATATGTAACTAATATGTATTCATTTCCGATAATCAGATATGGTGTTATTTTGCAATTAATATTGTTAAAAGATATAAATACATCATGTATGCAGCAAATAAATCAAAATAATAAAAATATAAAGTTATTAATGTCACCTATCTTCTTTTTTTCCCCCCAAAGAAAGCTTATTCAAGAAACCATACTAAGAAATCACAGCCTAAGGAACATAAGCAGGAAACTGGAAAAAAATGCCGACCTTACATATGGGGCCACAAGCAAGTACATACAAAGCCGACAATAAGCAGCATTTAACTTATTTATAAGCATTATTGTAAGTAGGCATTTAGCTTATTTCAGAAATAGAGCAGTAGATGCTCTGGCATCAGACTGCTTGGTGACTGCGAATTTCTTCACCCCTCTGTGCCACAGTGTCCTCATTGGTAAAATGGGGATGAGAGTGCTATCTCATAGGGCTGTCGTGTGCATTAAGTGAATATTCATACTGTGCATCAGTGGAGTGCCTGGGACACAGTGAGCGCTCAAATATTCATGATGCTTGTGATTTCCACCTTTTTATTAACTCACAGAGGAAATGTACCATTTGTTGACAGAGAAGCTAACAGGCATTAACTATCGTCCACAATAAAGAATAGTGCGGTTATATGGGTTAAATGTTAACCTACCTTTAATACGGTATTTATTCATGAAGCCAATAATGGTAAATCCTATAAATGAATTCCTCTTCACATGTTCCTTCTTCTGCATCTTTCTCTGATTTTACATTGAACTTTGGTTTAATTCAGTTGGGTGAACTCCTATCAGTGGTCCCTATTTGTCAACTATTTTCTTTGGGCCAATCTTTTAGCATTTAAACTATATATATATATATATTTTTTTTTCTCTCTGGTTTCAATTTTAACTCCAAATTGTAACATAAGATAGAAGTCCTAGAAATCTTTAAAAGGATGATGTATATGACAGGCATTTTGAATTCAGTGGGAGAACCAGGGCAAGGTTCAAATAAGATAATATTTACTCTCCAAGTACCGAAGAATGAGACCCCCAAGTTCAGTTTGGGAACTCCTACTCCTGTTCACACCAGGTCGCTTAATCTGTCAGCTAACACACAGACTGTGACCAAAGACTACTGATTTCTCCCTTTGAGCAGAAATGTCCACCTATCAAGGTTAGTTGGCCTGACACCTAGAATCTCATTTGCTATTTTTATGGGAAAATTATTAATAAGAAATTCGATCTGACAACATTGCCAATCTGATCAAACGGAATCCAGAACTCTAATTTCTGGTCCTGTCTATCATTGGGGAAAATATCTCTAAACAAAATTAGGAATCTCTTCAGCAGTAAAAACTAAATGTTTCCCACAAGGCTGAAGATCAGCCAGTTTTATCACCACATAAGCAAGAGTCGCTCTAAGAATCTGATAAGCCTACAGGCGGGATGAGTTCGACAGCAGAAGTTCTGGGCTGAAAGTTCTAAGATGAATGTTCGTCACCCCTTTGTTTATAATGACAAAAACGGGAAACAGCCTAGGCTGCCTGCAGTTGGGCCTGGTGAAGTTAGGTAGGTTAAATAACCCAAATGCTAGCACTGGTTAGCTCTGAGTGTAGGAGAAGGAGTGATTTTTAACTTAATTTTTCTCTTTGTACTTTGTCATATTTTTCAAAATTTTATTTTCTACTATGACATATATTACTACTGAGTAAGAAGAGAAATTAAAATCTATTAATTCAGTGGTGAACACAAGGCTGAATTGTTTTTTGGGCAAGTAACTTCTCTGAGCTTCAGGTTTCTTACCGGAAAAGAGGCAGTGAGAGTAGATTATGCTCGAAAGTCCCTTCTCATTCTAAAATTCTAAATTCCAGAATTCATTTACTTGGAAAAAAGTATCAAATAGTCCACTTGCATAACCTGCAAAGTTATTTCTTTCTCCTTGATAACAGGCTTTCAAGGTCCTTCATATTTTAGAGTAATATGAAAATTGAATAACTATTGTGTAATTTGGTTAGAATCTAGAACCAAAGGAGTTGGGAACAATGTTCACTACACTATTGGTGTTTAGGAAAATGCAAGTTAATAATGAAGGAAAAAATAAAATGAGTCAAATTAGCTAAACTAATTCTTTGGGAAAAATTTAAATTTAGTCCATCCTACCATGAGCCATACCTAATCCATTTGCTACAGGCAACAGTAAAGGAGACGTCAAAGGATCTCATTTTCAATCGCATGACTTGATAAGTTTCTGGGAGCTCACTTACCCTGTCGGATGCATACACGATATCAAACAGCCCAAGAAGGGTGACGGCGATTCCCACAGCTGGACCATTCACCACTGCGATCAGAGGCTTAGGGAAATCTATAAAACAGCCTACGAATTCCCTACAGAAATGGAAATATAAAAGCAAGTTTAAATATTCCCAAGCAGCACTCCTGAAGTACAGGCAAGACAGTAAGAGTCTGAAACAAACTCTTCTGGGCGGGCGGGCCGTTTCCTCTACATCGAGCAGCCGTGCTCCCTGTCTCGCCACCTCCCTGGTCTCCCACGGAGGACGCATGCAGGACGCTCGCCGAACGGCACTTGATGGAAGCTCATAGAGTGAGTCCTGCAGTTCTGCCTTGGCTCAGATCTTGTATTCTAGGCAGTGAGGTCAGCGCTGTAAGCCAGCTGGACTTAGAGATCAGGATGGCTGACCGAGCACATGCTGCAGTGGTACAGCTCAGTGGGAAGCCGAGACTCAGCAGGGGTAAACGAGAGGGGAAGAGAGAGGCCTTCAGGACCTGGGCGTGGTCTGAGACTACTTCGTCTCCCTCCCCGGCAGCCGCGGAAGTCATGCCCTCCTCTGGCTGGACGGGAACGTGCTCAATTCCTCTGCCTCAATACCAGCGAATTTCACTTATAACTGTAGTTTGCTTTTACGCTTTCCAATCAAATCTTATGGAAAGCAGCAGGATGAACAGGTAACAGAAGTTAAAGGGATAGAATGAATGCCCCCGTATTGATAAGAGGCAGTTTGGAGAAATATGCTTGTTCAAAGTCACAATTAATTACACTGACCCAAACAAATATTTATTTTACTTTTGCTCAACTAAATATCACTTTGATGAATAAGGATGAGCCCTCCGAGATCAGACAAATGTCACTCTTACCTCACTAAAATGAGACTATTTTTAGCTTTCTCCTGTATTTCGCCAGGGGAAGTATTAGTGAAGTTGGTCAGGTCATTCCCACTGGAGTAATAGTCACCATTTCCTGTAAATAAAATCAACATCGACCCATCCTATAATTACCGAGTACCCACTATGTGCCAGGCTCTATGCGCGTCCTGGAAACGCACGGGTGAACCAGCTATGGCTCTTGCCCGAACTTATGGTTTAAAACACACGAGGAAATGTAGGCAGCACAACTATGACAGAAAGGAGACGTGCAGGTGCTGATGTGCGAGTGCTAACGGCGTTTGCTCTAATCAGCGAGTTCAGGGAGGCACTTTCCTCAGGAAGGGACAACGGAACTGAGGCCTGAAGGACAGGCAAGGTTAGCTAGAAAAAGAGGGTTGGGAAGAATATTCAGGCAAAGGGAACAGCACGTGCAAAGTTCTCTGGAGGGGGGGTAACCCTGGTGTGTATGACGAGCTGAGCAGCGCCACTGTGCCAGAGTAGAAAAGCCTGGGAGAGGAAGCTGCTGCAGGACGAGCACAGGCAGGACAGACCACGGGTTTGTCTGTTAGGAAGTTTTGCCTTTATTCTAAGACCCACTGAAAGTGTTTTGTTTTAAATTAAATTATAATTTACATACAATAAAATGACCAGTTTTAACACTTGGTTCAATGATTTTTCATAACTGTAAATATTCATGTGATCACAATCCAAAACAAGATAAAGAACATTTCCATCATCCCAGAAAGTTCCCGATCCCCTTTTCGCCACCCTCCACACCCCACAAGATCACTTTCTGACTTCAATCACCAGAGATTAATTTTGTCTATTTTAGAGCTTTATCTAAATGGAATCATGCAATAATGTACTCTTTTGTCTGTCTTCTTTTGCTGAACTATGTTTCAAAGATTCACCATGTTCTTATATGTATCATTTATTTATTCCTTTTTATTTCTGAGTAGCATTCCATCATATGAATGGTCAATAACTCATTTATTCATCCGTCTATTAATGGACATTTGGACTTGTCCTGTTCTGGCTGTGACTCAAGCCACCATGCCTGCTCTTGCACAAGCGGTTTTAGGAACGAATGTTCAACGCATCTTGAGTAACTGGTGTGTCGTGGAGCTGATGTATGTTGAACTCCATAACACGTTGCCAAACGTTTCTCCAGCGTGTTCTCATATCAGAATTGTATGAGAGTTCCAGTTGTTCACATCATCACCAATACTTGGCAGCCTCTGTTTTTGGATTTTAGCCATCTTAGTGGGTGAAGTATCTCACTGTGGTTTTAATTTGCATTTCTTTGAAGACCATGACGGTGAGCACTTTTTTGTGTTTATTGGCAATTCACATATCTTCTTTTATGAAGTGTCCCAGTCTTTTATCTAGTTTTTTTTTTTTTTTTTTTAAAGATTTTATTTTTTCCTTTTTCTCCCCAAAGCCCCCCCGGTACATAGTTGTGTATTCTTCGTTGTGGGTCCTTCTAGTTGTGGCATGTGGGACGATGCCTCAGCGTGGTCTGATGAGCAGTGCCATGTCCGCGCCCAGGATTCGAACCGACAAAACACTGGGCCTCCTGCAGCGGAGCGCGCGAACTTAACCACTCGGCCACGGGGCCAGCCCCTCTTTTATCTAGTTTTTAAATGTGGGTGTTTATCTTATTAATTTGTAGGAGTTCTTTATATATTCTGGAATATTAGTCCGTAATCAGCCTTATGTAGGGCAAGTATTTTTTTCCCAGCCTGTGGCTTACATATTCATTTTCTTTTGGTAAAGCAGACATTTACAATTTTCATGAAGTCTAAGTTGTAAATTGTTTCTTTTATGGTTAATGTTTTTTGTGTCCTGTCCAAGAAATCCCTGCCTAATCCAAGGTCACAAAGACATGCTATGGTATCTTCTAGAAGCTGTATCTTTCTGGGTTTAATGCTTAGATAACTTTTGAGTTAATTTTTGTGTGGTATAAGATGGGACTGAAGTTCCCCTATGGATATTCAGTTGCCCTGGCACTACTTGTTGAAACATTTTTCAACAGATTTCTCTACTGAATTATTTTGGTGCCACTGAAGAGTTTTCAATGGGGGAGAAATAAAATTTTTTTTGAAAAAAAATTATGTTGGATGTAGTGAGGAGACTGGACCGGGCATGGGAGAAAGGAGATGTGGACAGATTTGATAAGGGCTTATTTAAGTTCAGAAAAGAGTCCACAGTGGCTTGGACCAGTGCAGAGGAGACAGGAAAAAAAGGACTGATTTCAGAGATATTGATGGAGTGAAATGGGATTAGACTGCACATGGGAGCTAAGAGAGGGACAAGTGTCTATAAGGAATGTTAGGATTCTGATCAACATACCAGCGGATGGGGAGTCACCCACTGTGATTTGGAACACTGAAGAAGGTCCAGAGAGAGAGATGTGGAGGTGACACCCATGAGGAGGTGCCAAGTGGGTACACCAGTCTGGAACTCCCTGAAGCATCCTGAAGATGCAAACGTGGGAATCACTGCCATGTGGACTTTTGCTGAGTGGCAGACATGGATGAGAGGGTCCGGGGAGAGCATAGGGTGAGAAGAGAGGAGTGCTTAGGACTACGCCTTCAGGAACTCTCCCATTCGATGGCCACAGAGAGGATGAATCTGCAAAGGGGATCAGAGCAGCCAGAGCCAGGAGGAAAACCAGGGGCAAGCTGTGCCCTGGAACCTAGAGATGTTTAAGAAGGAGGGAAAGTCAGGTGAGGCCTGAAAAATGCCTCTGGATTTAATGATATGAGGTCAGTGGGGGCCTGTGGAAAAGGGAGAAACCACACTGGAATGGCGTCCATGGCAAATTTCAAAGGAAAAATTCAAAGGACGTGTTTGTTTTGTAGTAGGCCTTTGGACAGTCATATTTAGGGTATTGAGAAACATGGAGGTATATTCTATTTCAGCAGTATTTTTACGTAACAGATTTGTTAATTTTTCCTATATTTTTACCAGGAGCAAACAGTGTCATAAATACTATTTTCAATAACTTTATGAGCTATGAAACTTTGTTTCTAAACAAATTCTTATGCAGGTCCTCAATATATATAAAACATATTAAGAGCTGAGCTGTCCTGTGAAAGACGGCTCAAAATAGAAGTGATGGGCAACAAAAACAGCCTGAGAGAGGGTGGGGAAAAAATGAAAGAAAACCATAACCATTAAAGAAATGATGCTGGGGCCAGCCCAGTGGTGTAGGGGTTAAGTTCACGCACTCTCCTTCCATGGTACGGGATTTGCGGGTTTGGATCTTGGGCGTGACCTACACGCCACTCATCAAGCCATGCTGTGGTGGCATCTCACATACAAAAAATAGAGGAAGATGAGCACAAATGTTAGCTCAGAGACAATCTTCTTCACCAAAATAAAAAAAAAAAAGAGATGATGCCATTATAAGCAGTAAAAAGAAAAGACATTGCTAAAAACACAATCAGTAACCTAGAGTACAGGATTGAGACAACTGAGCAAAATAAATGAGTTATTAAACTCTATTAGAAAATAGAGTTAAGAATTCAGAGAAAATAATGGATAATAGTCCCAGCAGACCAGACATTTCTTTTCCATAACTAGAATTTCTTTGAAAGAGAACAGATCAATTGAAACAAAAATATTGAGAGGTATTATCAAAGAATACTTAAAATAAGGCCTTAATAATCAGTTTAAAGAGGATATGCATTTCCTAGGGAAAAGTGATAATGTGAAAGTAGCCCTTGGTCTTCCAGGGAAAAAAATGATCTGATAAAGGTGCTGAAAACAAAAATAATGATAGTGAAACCGAAGACAGAGGAGTTCAAGTTTCCCTGGATTAGGGTGAAATTGTACTGGTATCCACAAGGTTCATGTGGGAAACAAAGTAATCAAGTTTCTGAGCTTGCCTTGCAGGAGAGCAGGAGGACCACTGAAGAGAGAGGGGCTTGCTGACAGCCCCTGCCTAACCAAGCATCGCAGAGGGGCACGGAGAAGCTAAAATGACCGAGCATAAATTTTAGATGTCACAGACTAAAAGTCCACTGTATGCAATACAAAGACACCCCCCACCCCTGGGAATTTGCACACGTGACCCATGAAGAAATCTGAAAGACAGTCAACGCCTGTGCAGAGGACTCTTAAAACTTTAGCCCTGAAGGCCACATGCTCCCCTCTCCCCTACCTAAAACTCCAAATAAAAACCCTTCCTTGTAGCTTTTCAGGGAGTTTGGGATTACAACGTTAGCTGCCCATTCTCCTTGCTCAGCACTTGGCAATAAAATCCCTACTTTCTTCCACTACACTCAGCGTCAGAGACTGGCTTGCTGCACGAAGGTGAGTGAACTCACCTCAGGTTCGGTAACAGTAGCCTCAAACTTCTCCTGCAACATCCGACACTAGAAGATAATGGAGCTCCACTTAACAGACTACACACTTGGAAGAGAGATGTGAGGGGTGTCAGAAATTCATGCTAACCTCCTCACCTTTCACAAGGGAAACCCACAGGCACTGTGCCAGGGAGTAATACAAGGTGGAGACGTCAGTGTGCACCATATGAAGCTATAAAAGTAATTCCTAAAAGCAGTAAAAAAACTTCCAAAGTATGAGAAATAAAACACACAGAAACAAAACAAGGAAAATACAGTCTATGATGTAAAAAATAATCAAAGGAAGCATTGTAAATAGAAAGCATGAAAGATGCCAAACTAAAACCTAGCCTATCCATCATATACATATAGCTAAGCAGGGAAACAGATCTTTACAAGAAAAACTCAGGCTGGAGCAAAGGGGGAAGATCCATATTTGTGCTGTATGAGACACAGCCAATAAAAAAATAATTTGATAAAGCAGGAAAAAAAAAAAACCCCACAACTAGAAGGACCTGCAACTAAGATATACAACTGTGTACGGGGGGGTTTGGGGAGATAAAGCAGAGGAAAAAAAATAATAATAATTCGAAAGGCATAAAGCTAAAAGGATGGGTAAAGCTTTTCCAGACAAGTGCAAAGAGTACTGAAGCAGGTGTTATGGTATTAATATTTGATAAGGGTGATTTCAAGGCAAGAGCGTTAAATGAGACCAAGACGGCTATTTTGTAACAAAGGATAAAATACACAGTAAAGACCTAACTACTCATAAATCTTCCAGTGCCAATAAGATCAACACGTGCTTTAAGGCAAAATTTTTTTTGACACTAAGGAGAAACTGACAGAAACACCATAGTAACAGATGCCTTTAATTTACTTTTTTTCAGTCCAAGACGGATTAATTAGAAAAAAACCCAGAATTTGACCAATTGAAATAACATAAATTAGAAAGGTAAGTGTAAGATATATTTTTAACTCTACACCTTAAAAATAAAGAATGAACTTACTTTTGAAGTGTTCCTGGATGATATAAAAAAAATTGGCCATTTTCCAATTCTTTATCCTCAAGGTAGGGATTTCAATATATAGCAATATACACAAAATTTTAATAGATTCTTAAAAAGTAAAATTAGTAAAACTGGTAACCTCTGATTATAATACAGTAAAGCTAGGAATTAATAACCGAAATGAAAAACCAAAGAAAAAACCTCTTTCTGGAAATTAAAGGAACTATTATTATTATTATATAATGCTTAGATCAAAGAGGAAATGGAAACCAAAAAGTGAAAAATATATGGAAAATAACTATAGTAAAAGCACTATTTATCAAAATTTAATCATTCACTTTTTCTCACCTGTAAGATAGGAGTAATACGGTCTAACTTCATGGGGTTGTTGTGTGAAAGTTTAGAAAAATTAACAATTATAAAAAGTTTTAAAAAGAATTAAAGTGCTTAGAACAGTGCTAGGCAAAGTATTTTACAAATGTCATCCACTAGTATCATTATTATTAAACTCAGCAGTTTTACTTCTAGGAATGGACCCTGCAGATATATTTGCGTGTCAGCTGAAAGGCGTACATCCAAGGATACTCACTGCAGCATCCTTTTAACAGCAAAAGAGAGTGAGTACAACCTACGTGCTCATCAACAGCGGGATGACGAACTCAATCGTGGAATCAAAAAAATGTAATACTTTGTAGTCCTGAAGAGAACAACTTAGATGGAAACAATTTTTCAGGACATGTTGTTAAGGAAGGAAGGTGGGTATAACATGTGTGTATTATATGCTTCCTTTTCTGTTTTAAAGAAAGTAGAGGGAGACAAGCACACATGTGGGCAGTTACACAGACAGCTTCTGGACGGCATCAGTGAAAACGGAATTTGTCTAGGGAGCAGGACTGGGGTTCCAAGGAGAGTGAGATTCAGTTCTGTTATGTACCTTTTCAGATTCTTTGGATTTTTTTAAATTCATGTGCCTATATTATACTTTTAGTTAAAAAATAGTTAATAAAAAAACATAAAACATTCTTCTCCTGTACAAATTAAATCAATGCCACTTCTCGGCCACTGTTTTTGTTATCTCATTCTCCTAAATTACCTAGGTGTATACAGGAGATCCCAGGGCATCTTCAATTCCTCCCTCCCTCATGCCCACGAATCAGCCATAGACTTCTCTCTCTCCTCCACTGTCTTTTTTTACTAAAAGCTATCTGATACCTCTCTATATTATTTATGCTACAAATTTAATGACTATTAAAAGAAAATAAAATCACCCCTGCTTCTGCCATGCCAACACTCAGTAACAGCTGCCATCTCTCAAGTGCCTGCCGTGTGCCAGGCCCCCAACCTGCACTATCTCATGGCATCACTCGGCCACTCAACAGGGTTAGTAAAACACTGTCTTCTCCACGCAGGAAGCAGAGGTCGTCTACAAGTAGTAAGGAGTGAAGCCAGGATTTATACGCAAGTTGATCTGAGTCCTGAGCCTAAGTCGTAACCGCTATACAGAGTGCCTCTTCTGATTCCAATGATTTTCATTTGCCAGGTTCTCATTAGTCGAGGTCCATGGGCACCCAGAATATTTGCCAGTTAAAATGACAGTACTGATATAATTTTTAATAATTTTTTATTATAGCTTAAACATTTCCTATATTGTCTGTCTTCACAATGATAATTTTTAATGCCTGTGAAATATATACTCTAGTGGATGTTCTCTAATTTTCTTTATTATTCTATTATGGCAACATATTTAGAATGTTTTAACATTTTTACAACTATATGAAATGCTGCAATAATTATCTTCATTGCATAAGACCTTTCCTTTTTCTTGCTTAATTTCTCTAAAATAAATTCCCATAAATGGGATTCCTGTGACAAAGGATGTGTACATTTTATATATTGCCAAAGGCCCTTTTCTTTAGCTATTTACACTTTTTATAGCCATTTACACTGCTGTCAGCAAGGTATCAGAAGCATTTATTCTACCATAACCTTGTCAAAACTGGGTATAATTAAAAATGTTACTAATTTAGATAAGAACAAGCTGGCATCTCATCATTTTGATTTGTATTTGTGATTATTAATGAGGTTGCATTTTCCTTGTTTGTTTAATACCGGGACTTTCTCATAGAAATTGTCTATTCGGTTTACTCACTGATTTATCTAGCAGGTCTTAATACTTTTGTTCCTAATTTGTGTCTGCTTTTTACAGGATAAAGATATCAATCCTGTTTCTATCATATTTTGTATATATTTAAGAATTAGAGTATCTCAGTACTGGAAAAGATCTTAGAACTTATTTACTCCATTTCTTATCTAGTAGGAAATCCCCCAAAATAGAAATTTAATTAAGAAATTCAACAAAATGTCTTACCTGTTAGAACAGTTATGGTTGAGTCATCCTGGCTTGCAGCTTTAAGTGCAAGTACGATTTCTTGATACATCTATGTAAAGAGGGAAGACGAGGAAAAGCAAACAACTCTGAAAATGGTAACCATCACCCAGTGGGTTCCCCAAATGAGCATCTGCAAGCCTGCTCTCTGCAAAGTGCCAAACATCTATGCTGGTTGTATTTATATAACCAAAAAGGTGGCCCTATGCACTGGAGAAGACTTCCAGTCCTTCAAGAATTATGTGGTGTGCATTATGTACCCAGTGCTACAGCAGATGCTGGAGGATATATATATTCACGTTTTCCAAGTGAACAAACTGGACAAGACCCTTGAGCTTTTGGAATTAAGAGAGGGGCTTAGCTCTAAAGTGGGTGGAAAGCACAAAGCAGCAGGCAGCTCGGAGGAGGTGCTGATGCTTCTCTAGGGCGGGTAGGATGGGAGGTGGCCAGAGAAAGCTTTCCATCAAGAAAGAAAGCAGCATTTCGGTTGGGACCTCAAGAAAGAGCACAAGTGTCACAGGCAGTCTGGGAAGTGTGAGTGTTAAAAGGCTGGGATTTCCAAGAGGGCAATGGGCCTCATATTGGAAATCAGCAACATCTCTAAAAATCTTGGACATGTAGCTGTTATAGCTTTTAATGCATTTAAAACAGGTACAGTTTCTACCTTAGATGCGACTCCAATATGGGAGAGAATGATGCAGAGGGCTGATATTTACAGACACAGAGACACTGAAAAAATAAATCAATGAACTCTACATAATATATAATATATCAATAAGATGAAATCGTTTCCACTGAGGGAGGGACAAAGGAAGTAATTCATTATTATTACTGTTATGATGACACAGCATGACAGGGTAATGGCAAGAGCCAGGGTTAGAAGACGGACAATCAGAATTTCGACTTAGGTTTTCCTGCTTCTTAGTTATGTGAATTTGAGCAAGTTACTACTTAGCCTATTTTACTGTTAAATAATAATAACGTAGGCTTTTTGTGGAATTAAATCTCTGCAGGGCAAGTGCTGATACACATTAGGCACTCTAAGGAGTGGTGACTATTTTTTTTTTACCATGATTACATAGAAATGAGTCGGGGAAAAGGAAATAAAGTTTTGAGAATTAAATGCTTCATTAATTGAATGGCACAGCTTCTATGGACTTCTTATCTAAGACTATTATAAGTTAGCATATTCCTTCTACTACAATGCAGATGATAAACCCAATGGAAGGGGTTAGAGACCTCTCGAATTTTACTCCTCGTTCAGCAGCAAGCATCCAATTAATTCCCTATAATTTTCAAGGGGAAAGGGCTGAAAGGGTTATTTTTTTAATCGTGATTTTTTAATTGAAGTATAATTGACATATAACATTATATTAGTTTCAGGCACTCAATGATTTGATATTTATATATATTGCAAAATGATCACGACAATAAGTCTAGTTAACATCCATCATGGTACATAGTTACAAAAATTTTTTCCTTGTGATGAGAACTTCTAAGATCTACTCTCTTAGCAACTTTCGAATATGCAGTACAGTATTATTAACTATTGCTACCATGCTGTATATTGCATCCCCACGACTTACTTATTTTATACCTGGAAGTTTGTACATTTTGATCCTCTTCACCCATTTTGCCCACCCCCCGCCCCCCTCACCTCTGGCAACCACCAATCTGTTCTCTGTATGTATGAGCTTGGTTTTGTTTTGTTTTAGATTCCACATAAAAGGGAGATCATAAGGTATTTGTCTTTCTCTGTGTGACTTATTTCACTTAGCACAAAGCCCTCAGGATCTATCCACATTGTCACAAAGGGCAAGATTTCCTTCTTTTTATGGCTGAGTAGTACTCCATTGTGTGTGTGCACCTATATACCACGTTTTTTTAATCCATCCATCGATGGACACTTAGGTTGCTGAAGTGGTTATTTTTATTTTCATCCCAGTTCAATGACAGATTGAACTAGCAGACTAGTTGCCTCTGCAAAACAGCTCATTTCAAGCAGAGCTGGGTCATGATCTATTTAAGATAAAGTCCTTATCCTTCCTCCCTCTACTCGTACAAAATAAAGCTCCACGCAAGCAGAGTAGTGCTCACTCTCAAGTCTAAGGGACATGAAGATACTTCCAGGGACAGTCAATACCAACCTTAGAGAACCTCTACCCAGATTCTCTTTTATCAATGTATGTTTCATTTGTGTTCATTTCTTTGTGCTTCCATCATTAGGAAAGTTGCAGTGCCTTTTGGGCATGTAGGACCCACCTGAAGCTCACAAATTCTAAATAATGAATACAAGTTTTGTATGAAGAAGTATCCACAATTACTGATCTTCCTGCACAAATCAAACGAGATATCAGAAAAATAGGAATGATGTGGAAACACTATAGCTTTTGAGTGAAAGAGAGAAAGAAAAGAAAAGCAGGACAAACCTCCAGGGTAGCTAATGTTACCTGAAGGTTGACTGCATTCTTTTTGCTGGGCCGGTTCAACATGATCTTTGTGATGCCGTCTTCAGAGGTCACCACCAGGGTTTCATATCTCAGTTGTTCCCTGTCTGCTCCAGGCTTCCCTTGGCTAGAGGACTCAGATGAAGAACACAAACTGGACACTAAATCCACATAATTCTGCCTGGCAGTTTCCTGAAGAGAAGATGACAAATCGCTTCAGCCAATGGTCAACGGACAAGTATCTTAAGAAACCTCCTATGCTAATAAATAGCACCTTGCAATGAAGAGAGAACAGAGGTTCTGATTCAGCAGAGGCACCTCAAGATCCTGAAGGCTCCAGTTATCATCACTTGATAACGAGAAGCACCCAACGTCCTTTACGAGTACAGCCAGTAAAACAAACTCAAAGTAACAAGTAAATTTACCTTGGGCAGGTTGCCAAGAGTATTCCATGCTTCCCATTTGGCCTTCCTGATCAAGTCATAGATGCCTGGTTTGGGCATGTTACAAGGTCCTTCAGTGGCCTGTGAAAAGGAGAGGGGCAATTACTGGTCAATGCGAACTGGAGCCTTACCCATCTAAGATCCATAAGACGCGCAGGGGAAGCATGAACGCACCTTCCCCTCCCAAACACTGTCACAAGGCACGGAACTTGGTCTGAGCTTTCCCCTTGCCCTCTCTTTCATGCTGCTGCTAAATATGCACAAACAACAGGAGAAAGACTGGAGAGACAAAATATGCTATCAGCTGTCGATCCCTAAAATAAGTTATAACTGCCTGCATATGACAATAATGCAAGATACGGGTTTTGGGAAAGCACTTTTTAAAAAATTCTAATAGCTCATTAGTTTTATATTGATGATCACATTTTTCACACACAATCAAAATATTCAAGCCAACAATCATCACAGGTAACTAGGCAACAAACATTTGGGACCCAAAGCATATTCTGAAAGCCACTCAGAGCTGCAAACACCCACCACTACTTCAATGGCCGATTTCTGGTAACTGAGCACAGAGCTGTGGCTGGGGAGCAGGGCGGGGCTGTCAGGGCCGCTGGCCCTTAGGGGACTTGACTGAGGGACCCGCAAATAGAAAGCAAAGTGCAACTAAAGTTTACTTGTTTGAGGGTAGGTGGAGTGAGTGTTTTGAGATGAATAAAATATCCCACTCAGTTACTGTTTAGAAATGGCAATTTAAAACTCCACTTAATAACCACACTGCAAATTTTTTAATTTTGTAATATAATTAGCCACCTCTGAAAAACAAAGGCAGTAAAGGAAGCTGAGACTTTCCAAAGACAAAGAGACAAGAGTCACCTGCAGGAGCTAGCCCCTGAGAAAACAGAGGCAGCACAAGCCACGAGACTGCGCCCACATCTGATGCCACATGGCAGGCCAAGGGCTTTTGAGACCACCCTCGGGTTCATCATCTGCTCGAGTGACTCACAGAAAGCTGTTTTACTCACAATTATGGTTTGTTATGGGGAAAAGATACAGATTAACATCAGCAAAGGAGGAGATGCATACCGGAGTCCGAGGAAGTAAGCCCCTCCACACTCTGAGTCAGGACAGAGGATGTCTCAGGATGAAGGTGTGGCAACGCACACGGAGTACTGCCCCCCAGGGAATCCCATGCAAGCCTCAGCATTCAGAGTTTTCACTGGAGCTTCATCACTCAGGCATGCCTGACTGGGTAACCCCAAGCCCCACCCTAAACCACACTGTTGCCCCCTGGTGCGGGCAGGCCCACCCTAAATCACACTGTTGCCCCCTGGTGCGGGCAGGCCCACCCTAAATCACACTGTTGCCCCCTGGTGCCGGCAGGCCCACCCTAAATCACACTGTTAGACGGTCCAGGCAAACACACACACTCCCACCAGGCGCGGTGTCTCAAGGGCTCAGAGAGCACTTCCCAGAAGCCAAAGGGCAAAGGCCAGACCTCTTCTTGGGCAAAGTTAAATTCTTTACACACCCTTATAAAAGTAAAAGAGGTTCATACCAATAGGCAGAGAAAAACAGGTAAATACACAGGAGCCGAGAGGGGCTGACTTCCCAGGGTAGTCTTTAGACATTACAACTTAAAAACTTAAGTTTTAGAACTTTGTTATAAAATTCTACAAAAGTAGAATATGATAATGAATTCCCAATACTCATCACCAACTTCTACTATCATTTTTTGTCATACTTGCTTCATCCATTCTTCTTTCTTTTTTTGCTTAATTATTTTAGTCATCCCCAACACCACACTATTGCACCCCTGCATACTTAGTATGCCTTCCTAAAATGTCAACATTTTCTTATATAACCATGATGCCCTTTACAGTAATTCCTAGGTATTATCTAACACTCAGTCCATCTTCAAATTTCCCCAATTGTCTCAAAATACCTTTTTCAGTTGATTTATTCCAATCAGCAACCAAATAAGGTCTACACATTTGGTTGTTTCAAAAATCTTTTAAGTCTGTTTTACTCTGGAATGATCCTGAGGGGTTACTTTTTGCCTTAATAGTATTTCAAAGTCTAATATACAAAACTCTCATGTATACACTCTTTAGAGGAAAGGGAACAATACAAACCCTAAAAATATTAAAGCTGCATTTTAGTAAAACACGGAGCAAAGCTATGTGAGGAGTCATCAGCCTCAAATGTCTCTAAATTATATCAGACCTTAGACATTTACCTGCTTATATAGCGCATACAGTTTCAGCTTCACTTCATTTCCTGGATCCTTCTTCAAGAGTTTCATCTGATTCACTGCATTTTCCAAGTCCTTCTGACTGGCTCTCATTGCTGTTCCACCCACGTGCAGCTTAAGTGCTGGGAAACGAGCGTCCTGCACAGGACTGGAAACGGAGACTGGTTTCTAATTGTTCCCAGCCCCTACCTTCAAAATGCTATGTTGCTCTATAAATATTTTCCCTATACTTACCCCAGCAAGCTGGCTGCCGATGGTTAGTGGTTTCCCGAATGATCCCTAGATAAGAAACCAATACGGAACCTAACTGTAGTAATTTTTAAATAAAGAAAAAGAAAGCTGCAACCCAGCACGGTTGGGTTGTAACTCGAATTACATATAGATAAAAGCAGCCAGTACTGGAATGTCCACATAAATTTTGGCTCACTCAAAAAGTAGATGAAGTGTGTGCAACAGAGACGTGAGCAGGAGACTGAGAGCACAGGGTAAACAGCACAGAAAGAAGCTAGTCATGATCCAAAGTCCAGAAACAGCTTCTGCGTTCACTAATTAACAAAGTATAAACTATTATCAGGTCAATGTTTTTCTCTCTGCTCAGAAAGACATGTGTCCCAACATATACACAGGTGGAAGGAGGGGAGATGGGTGAAGATATTAGAAGTGTTCAAAAGGACAGATGAGTAGTTGCTGGCATTCCACACAAGGACCTTAGCAAGGTGGGGGACCTACCTGGGGGAAATCGACCTGCTGTGGATGCTAGGCTGTGATGCCAGCTGAGCAGACATACCCAATCCTCACCCCACAATGTTTAACCAGCCAGGAAGAGAGCAGAAACAGCAAGCACGCCCAGGTAAGTCAGTTTTTAAGCACACACAGTAAGCAGAAGGGAGGGGAAAACTTCAAATCATAGTGCTGAGCTCACAAGCAAAACCTGAATTTTCACAGTGATGTCTCAATAATAAAGCTAATGGCATTGTGGGGCCCAGGGCAGGCCACCCCAAAACATCCCACAACGACATATTGATTATTTGGAATTAAAGTTACTTGAGAAGCAAAAAGGGCATTCTGACCCTCTTGTCTCTGTTCCACCTGAAAGCAGGAAATGAATCTCCCACCAAGAGGGGTTCTCCCTGCCTCAACACAGAGCTGGGGACTCAGGGCAGAGAGGCTGTGTGAACAAACCTTGCTCGCTCACCCTCTCAGACCTAAACTCTGTCTAAATTCCTCACTAATTACCTACCCTACACCTAAGTTGGTCTTGACAATTCCTCACAACATTATTTCTTTGTGTAAAAAGATACACAGACTGTCTGCTTCGTTCACTCTCTGAGTATCGTTTTCATGATTCTCTTGTGGGCATATAATTAAATTGGGTTTTTTCCCGTTAATTGGGTTTTGTGTATTAGTCCAGCCAGAAGAACACAAGAAGAGTGGAAGGGGATTTCCCCCACCCCAACAGCATCAAAGATGATTAAAATGACACAGGTAGAGGTCAGCCTAACAAATGTATCACCTTTTCTGCAATTATGTAACTTTCAAAGAGTACAATGGACTCTAGGTTCAAACCTTGAAATATTAGTGTGTAATTCAATAAAATCAGCTTTCAATAAGCTTAATATTAGGTAATTGAATTAGGTTTTTTTCCCCCCAAAAGGGAAAAACTCTGCATCCTACATGAATTTGGCACCTGGCAAGTTCCAAGTAGAAAACCGAAAGGAAAATTAACATCCATTGAAAGCCTAAATGCAAATGTGCAAGTTCTCACAAAATGTGGTGCAAACTTATTTATTTCAAAATAAAGTGAGTTAAATACAAAACACAACCATTTAACATATAAAATAGGGAACATTGCTCGTAAGTCCACCACCTCAAGGCAACTGATGTGGATTAAGGCTGCCCCAGCTACAGAAGCCCAAGGTGACCTGGCCTACATGCCAAACTATATGACCCAGTGGACTTTTTTTATGGTATGAATTAGGACTGCCCCAGGGAGAGAAGCCCAGGGCATCCTCACCTACATGCCGATCTATATGGCCAGATTTGTATCTAAAGTTGTATGACCGCACAATAACCAGACCCCATCTGTACTGAAATCATTTAATGACTTTTCACATCATCTTTTCTTTTTTCCAGTAAAAATAAGTCACGTACCCATGCCTTATAAAATTAGCCATAACCCTCAACTCAGGGCAGCAGCAGGAGCTCTGACTGCCCATGGGTCCTGTCCCCATGCAGCAGCAGGAGCTCTGACTGCCCATGGGTCCTGTCCCCATGCAGCAGCAGCAGCTCTGACTGCCCATGGGTCCTGTCCCCATGCAGCAGCAGAAGCTCTGACTGCCCGTGGGTCCTGTCCCCATGCAGCAGCAGCAGGAGCTCTGACTGCCTGTGGGTCCTGTCCCCATGCAGCAGCAGCAGGAGCTCTGACTGCCCGTGGGTCCTGTCCCCATGCTATTCCACACTATTCTCTAAATAAAAAGAGCACTACTGCCAGATCTAGAGAGTCCAAGAAACCTTTCTTTCAACTCCTTGGCTCACCGACCCCGCATCAGCAGCCACCAAGTTCCAGGGCTTTCTTGTTCCCTATGCATAGATTCGATTTTGGTTTCTGATGAGGATTTTTAGGCTGCTTAATTTTAAAACGGTTTTTGATGAGGATTTTTAGGCTGGTTACTTTTTAAACTACAGATAAGAAGCAGGCTCCGAGGAGTGGAATTTGCTTGCCCTTTGATCAGAGACAGTTGCATTTGTGAAGGAAATCTCCATGCCTCCCTCTCTGCGCCAGGAGGAAGGGGGGATGGCCTTATCTCTGGAAACTCTTAATGGGGAAGGCAAGAACTTAAGTTGTTTACTGTCTGGCAACCTCATGTAACTGACCCCCACCCCAAAATCCTCCTTTGTCTTTAGTTGAAGATAATATTTGAGCGGTGACTTCTGCCATTTACTCAATCCGGTTTGATTCTTATCTAAAAGTTGTGGGACCGCCCAATGGCTGGACCCTACCGGCACTGGTACCATTTTAACTTTTTTTTCTTTGTCTCGTAAAGAGATGACTCGCATACCTATGCCTTAAATCTAGCCCTAACCCTCAACTCGGGGCAGCAGCAGGAGCTCTGACTGCCCGTGGGTCTTGTCCCCACGCACCAGCTCTGCCTGCCCATGGGTCCTGTCCCCATGCCAGCGGGGGCAGCAGAAGCAGCAGCAGAAGCTCTGACTGCCCATGGGTCCTGTCCCCATGCTATTCTATACTATTCTCTAAATAAAAGAGCACTACTGCCAGATCTTGAGAGTCTAAGAAATCTTTCTTTCGACTCCTCGGCTCACCGACCCCGCATCAGTTTCTACGTAGTTTCTGTATCCTGCCATTTAACATTACAGCAGAAGTATTCTCCAAAAAGCAAATCGTTTAACCCAACACTGACAATGACTTGCATTTTCACAGCGTTCAGCAAATAACCAAAGCGTGCCTGGATTCCACCTGCTTTCAGCAAACCGCGTTCCCGCCCAGCAGCAGGCTCGGCGGGCTGCGTGCAGGGCGGCCGAGGGGACGCACACCCGGCGGGCGGGAGGCGGCTCAGACCTCCCGACGCGTCCTTCCCGCCCCTTCCGGGCCCCACCGTGGAGCGGGGTGCGCCTCGAGGACGGTCGATGTCACGCTCTCCCTGGAAACCGTTAACAGCCTAACCCTGTTGCTACCGAGACAGGACAACAGAGAAGGCGACGACTCCCGCAAGGACGGCAGCGTCCCACGGGCGACCTCGGGCCCCGGGCTCGGCGCTTACCTCCTGACAGCGCTCGCAGCCCAGCGCCGCGCCAGCCTCACGGCCGCCCCAGCCATACTGCCCCGGCGCGGACGCGGGCGGACTGGGCACGGGCCCGGGGGATGGCGGGGCCTGGGGACCGGGCAGGCGGGGCGTTGGGAGGAGCGACGCCGGGCACCGGAAACCTCGGACTCCGCGGCGCCGCGCCGCCCCTCGGGAGCGGCCGTGGGAGGCGCTGCTGCCCCCAGGCCGGCGGCCGGCGCTGCGTCGGAGGCGGGAGGGGGGACCCGAGGCGGGGTGCGCGGGGGAAACACGGTATTCGCCCCGGAAGACGCAAGGTCTGCAGACCCGGCGGCGCGCCTGGGCATCGGAAGTGTCTCTCGAATGTCTTCAGCGCATGCTTTCATGGCAGTAACCGTCTGTGGCTGTCTCTGAGTTCTGTCGAAGCATTTAACAAACTGTTCTTTGGAAAAGAGTTCTTAAGAGTTGGAAGGGCCTTTGGCTCTCACCTCGCCCAGATCCAGGAGAACCGAAAAGAAAAGGAAAAAAATCACTGCTTTAGCCCGCGTGCTGGAGGTGGAGTATCCAGGCGCGCCTGAGGCCGGTCAGACTTGTAATGAGGCTGACATTAGCGGACCACCTATAGTGAGCCGGGCTAGTTGCAATTCTCTCCGCAACCCTGTAGGGAAAAGGTGTTGCCCCATTTCGCTGATATAGAAATTGAGGCTTAGAAAGCGTGATTAAGGTGACTGGTCCAAAGATTTGGGACTTGCAAGTGTTCCGGAACCTGGTTCATTCTGCCGGTCGCATGGAAAGCCAGCCAATCACCAAGACAAGGAGTTTGCAGCGAGAAAGCGTTCATTCCCCAGGCAGCCAAGAGAGGAGAGGGGAAAACAAATCTCAAATCTGCCTCCGACAAAATGGGGATTCGGGCTGTTTATGGGGTAGCGGTCAGGATGGTCCAATGGCTGCATAGATGACTGGAGGTAAGGAAGGGTGAGGTAACTGATGATCCCTGCAGGGTGGTCAAGCTTCGTGGCTCTTCACTGGTGCACGTTCACAAAATGGTGGCGTTGGCGTGATCTGAGGGTGGAGTTTTCAGCTCCCGGGCAGGAGGTCGCCTATTGGACACTTGCACAGATCCAGTTGGTGGGTTAGTGGTCTCCCTTGGCCTGAGCCGGACAGGAGTTGACCTTAGTTCCTAAAAAACAACTCACGTATCCATCACTGTGGTGACCCAGGTGTCAGGGATGTTACCTAAGGAACCTAGTGGGCGTTGGGTAATGTGTTGCCTAAGCAGCACAGCTAACAGTGGGCAAGAGAACAGCTAAAGGCAGCAGTTAATAATTACCAAGAAAAACTTGACCAACTAGCTACATAGTCATTAATGGCTAACTGTCCACAGGTTTCACAAGCGGTCAGAGTTGTGATTCAAGTCAGTCCTCATAAGTCCCAAGTAATTTTATTATTCTGTCCTGATGGCCCATTATTATTTGTGCTTCATCAGGCAGATTTAGGTAATAGTGTGGTGGAGGCAAGAGCGAAGCCCATAGAGAACAGTTTGGACTTACTCCAAAACCTTTCTTCAGGTGTCACAAGGTGGTGGCTGGTATGCTGAGCGGAATCTGTCAAAGACCCCAACCCTCTCCCAGGCTGGGTTAGGGGACCCTGGGGGTACTGGAAATGCACTGGTCAGAAACTGCAGATACTGGAAGATTCACTGGGCTCCAGAAGATGAGACACTTCTCATAGAAATATTACTATTTTTAAAAAGTCCCTTACTGGTAAGCATATTTGGTCTGTGAAACCTTTCGTAATACAAATGAACTCTTCCCAGGCTTCAGCCTGCTATATTTCACACAGAAAAGTGGAGTGTGGGAGATTAGCTATCTTGGTCAAAGTATAATTTAAGAAATATTAGAGGAGCAACTGTCAAAGATTTACTCAGCTCATTAATTGGGGAACCAGCTGGATGGAAAAGAAGAATTTGAAAGACCGGTTTGTATAGTCAATGTGAAAACGGTTGCCAGAATAGATTACAAGATTAGAAATGAAATTGACTAATGTCCTGCAGGGCGATAAAACTGGAACCACTGGGGCAGTTTTTTTTTTTTTATTGGACAAATCATTTGTATCTCTACCAGCAGACATTTGCTAAAGACCTATTATTATGCTAGAGTTTGACGGAGGGAAGATGGTTGAGAAGACAGATATTCTGGCAGTGAGTTCATCTTGGGTCCACCTTTGGTCACTAAACTGTAGCTGGGAGTCCGGGCCATGCCATTTGAACCTGGTAACCATGGCCTTGTGGGTGAGGAGACCAGTTCTCAGGAAAAGGGAACCATTGTGAGTTGGTAGCTACTCCACCTGAGCATGAAGATCATTTTATCCATGCTAAGGAGTTTGGCTTCTGTGTTACGAGCAGGGGAGAGCCATTGAAGATATAACCAGTGTGTCTGGTTATCCAATTCTTAGTGCAAACGTATACGCCTAGTACATCCTCAGAGTGTAATGCTCCTGGGCAAGAGTAAAGATTGCAGACCACCAGTCTAGACCTCATCCAAAGTTCTAATCTCCACCCTGTTATATGCTCAGGTTTTTTGGTGCTTATGAAGGCTTTGGGAGGGGTCTGTCCTATCTGGTTAGATGCTGTCTTAGAGTATTGATTGGAGCAGAGGGGTCTACTTGGGACCGCAGTTGATGCTGCCTTTGCACACAGCGAATCCTAGACCCCCTAGTGGTCACAGGAGGAGTTGTCCTCTGCTATACTGAATCTTAGGGGCCAGGATGTCCACTTCACAGTGTTGTGCTCAGTGGTGGGGCTAAATGTTTGTTTTTTAAGGTCACAGAGTAGAATCTACCATTTGTGATTCTCCTGGCAGTCATATTGATTATTTTTATTTCCGACATTAAACCATCAGATACTGTTATTATGACATATAAAAAGTCATGAGGGGGGCCGGCCCCGTGATGTAGCGGTTAAGTTCGGGCTCTTTGCTTTGGCGACCTAGGGTTCGCAGGTTCAGATTCCAGGTGTGGACCTAGCATGGCTCATCAAGCCACGCTGTGGCAGCATCCCACATAAAATAGAGGAAGGTTGGCACAGATGTTAGTTCAGGGCCAATCTTCCTCACAAAAAAACCCCCCAAAAGTCACGAGGAACTATTCTGGCAGCACCGTCCAATTAACACTGTAAGCCAGAAACTTGAAAGCATCCTGGACTCCTTCCATCTCACTGATGCCTCACTTCTATCAGTTGCCAAGTCCTAGTGATTCTGTCTCCTAAATATTTCTTCATTTTCCCCTTTTCCCTTACCACTGCCTTAACTCAGGCCCTCATCACGTTTGGGTTTTTGTTACTTTGATTGATTACCATTACTTAGATTACTGTAACAGCCACTTAACCAGTTTTGCTGACTCTAGCCCCAAATCTGCAGCCCATTCTCTACCTGCTTCCTAACTGATCTCCCTAAATTGAACATCTGACACTACCTGCATCATTCTCCCCTAATCTTCCTCCATCGCTGAAAATCTTGTAGTGGCTCCCCTTTGCCTTCTGAACAAATCAAATCTTTTAGCCTGTCCCGTAAGGCCTTCAAAATCTGGCCCACGCTTACCTGCCCAGTTCATCTCTCACCAGCCCCACCCTTGAACCTTCTGTCTCAGATGAACTTGGCACGCTCAGGTTCCCTGACTCTCCATAGTACCGTGTTCTCTCAGTCCAGGCACCATCTTATCCAGGAAGTCTCTCTGACCCTCAGCTGGGGAGTGCTCCCCTTCTGAGTTCCTATAGTCTTCCTGGGCTTCTCTCTCTCATAGCGTTTCTGTCACTACGCACATGTCTGCTTAGTAATTTGTCTCGTTACTCACCCAAGGGCACATCTGGAGAAGAAGTCTCCTCTTAGAGTAAACCCCCTTTCCTAACACACTTCTTGACACAAAATACTCCGTGAATGTGTGTTGAGTGATGGATGAGCTGTTGAAAGTTTCTATTGAGGCCATGTTTTTCCATGTTTGATAATAAGTTGTGAGTAAATTGCTACCTTTTTATTAAGTTGTCGGAATTAATATCAATGTTTTTAAGCTTTAAAATATTTCTTTGTCACTGAGTGGTAACTTGAGGAAAAGAAATTTGACTATTGCCAGCTTCCTGTGCTAAAATGAACTAGAAAAATTGGTACCAATGAAACTATGGTATTACTTAAGTATAAATTTCTGGGGGGACTATATATCTTCTTGTGTTGGTCATTAAAGAGTATTGGTCCGTGTTCTGTGTTCCATGCCATAACTGTTTCCTGCTGTAGCTCTGTGACACTGCTTGAGATCAATTAAACCTGTGTTGTTATTATTATGCCTACTTTATCAAATTACTTTACCTCCCCCCCACCCCCAGTTAGTCTTCATATCATCTTCCTACACGGTCTTACATGTTCATGTCAAAGCTATTGAAAATATTCTGGAATCTTCTCTGCTTTTGAGTGTTCTTTCTTATTCTTGGTTGTTATGATTTAGAGAAGAAAGACTTTTCAGAAGCAAACATCTGACTCACCATTACACCTCAGCCTTAGTTCCCTGACCTGCATGATGACAGCACCCAATGCTATTTTATCCACATTTTCTTGTGCTGCACAAACATTACACCAAACTTGTCCTTGAGGTTTAATTTTCAACTATTCTTCTTTAGCAAAGAAATCTCCATCACTTATCCCCCTCTGGTTATGCTGATACACTCCTCCGTGGTGTCTGCTCGAGTGTTCAGTGAGTCTGTATTTTGTTTTATTTCTTCCATTGTGTCTTTCATCTCCAATATTTCTGATTGATTCTTTATAGTTTCAATCTCTTTTGTGAAGTAGCTCCTGAACTTGTCGAATTGTTTCTCTATGTTCTCTTTTACCTCATTGAATTTTTTGATGATAGCTGTTTTGAATCCTTTGTCACTTAGATTACATATTTCTGTCTCCTCAGGACTGATTTCTGGGTACTTGTCATTTTCTCTCTGGTCTGGAGATCTAATATAGTGTTTGATATTGCTAGAGGGAGTTGCTCTGTTCTTTAGCATCCTGGTGTTATTTATAGTTACCACCTATTGCCCCTGGGTGGAGGTTAAGAGCCAGGTATTCTGAGCCCTCTGCCTTCAGCTGAAATCCCAGGGGCAGGAGCTGGGCTGAGCGGCACTTTCTCCTGCGTGCTCTCTCGGTTTTCTCCCTCTGCTCTCCTGGGGTGTTGGCTTAATAAGGTCACCCACTGTGAAAGCCTTTGCCCTGGTAAAGGGCTTCCCTCTAGGCTGCAAGGGCACTTGGGAGTCCTTGATGTTCCCATGAATGAACATTCCTCCCCTCATTCCTTCCTTCTTGGAGGCCTCCCATGGTCCTGGATCTCAGCCTTTAGGGGTAGGAGTGAAGATTTCTCTTACCCCATTCCACCTCCCCTGAAGGGGGACTTCAGTCTCTCTGCCGTCTGTTGTATGGCTGCGTGTCTCTCTGACATTTTTGTGTTGTGTTTGGATGGCCTCTGTTGGAATATGGATTTTTTTTGTTGTAGGATGTTAGTGGGGAGAAAGTCCCAGGCAAGTTCACTCTGCCATGATGCTGATGTCACTCACTTATCTCCCTCTGAGAACTATCGGAATTGGTAGATATTACTGTGGAAGAAATGGCTGCTTTTTCCAGAGTCATTCCAATTTTTCTTGTTTACAGCAAAGCTTAACTTACAACCTGTCCAAATGCATAGAAAAGAACAAGAACAGGCTATAAGACAAAGTCAGCTGAGGAGAGCACAAAATAATCCTAAGTGGGAAATAAGTAAGAGAAACCTTACATAAATTGGAGAGGAGAAGCCCTGTAGGGAGAGCTCTCACACTCTATCATATATTGTCAGTTACACCAAACAGGAAGAGACAAGAGCTGGCATTTTAGACAGGAAGTAGAACTACTTTACGGCTGAAGAAGGATTTCTCTCTCCACCTGGCAACAGCTCAGCCAATCAGAAACACTGCAGCTCAGCCAATGAGAAGCCGTTGCCTCCCTTAACTGCTACTTTCCCCCAATGGACTTTGCTTTAGAATAGCCCCTCCCACTCCCCTTTTTCTCTATAAAGGCAGCTCCCCTCCTTTATTCTCCAGATTTGCTTATGGTTCTACATAGCATGCATATCTCAGACCGCAATTCTTTTGGCTATTCCTGAATAAACTCATTTTGAAGGTAAAATAACTGGGGAATTTGCTTTTTAAGCTGATATATATGGTATCATAAAAGTGGGATCTGAAGGAGGCGACCCCCGATAGTTGGCAGCCCCCAGAACTGAGCAAGGTACCCACACTGAGCCCCTGTGCTCATCGCTTCTGTGAGTTGCCGCCTGCCTCTGTTTGGTGAGTCTTCTCTCGGATTCTGGGCTCTGCTCTCCTTGTGTTCTGAGCTCTCAGGCTGTCTTCAGGATCAGGAGAGGCTTTGTCCTCTCAGCACTTCGTCCTCCAGGTTGAAGGCTCTGACCTTGGGTTTAAGGCATCGTCCTTGGTGAGTACTCAGTTATTTTCTGAAGGAACCACAGTTCCTTTTGGGGCTCAGCCTTGCCTGGAATCCAGGAGTTTTCTTTGGTTTTCAGATTCCTTTTGGAGTCAGGGCTGGGAATCCAGCAACTTTCTTCTGTTCTTAGCCTCCTTTAGGGATAAGGGCTAGGACTGTAGTGACTTTCTTGGGTTTTCAGAGGAAATTTCAGAAACGGGATCCCTGCCATCTCAATGTTCTGAGGGAAACTCTCCTTCAGGGACCCCTGGTCAGCTTTATGT